AGAAAATCACAATTCTAAAAGACACATGTACTCCAGTGTTCACTGCAGCACTATTTACACAATAGCCAGGACATGGAAGCAACCTAGATGTCCATCAACAGATGAATAGGTAACGAGGTAGTACATATATACAATGGAATATTACTCAGCCATAAAAAAGAATGCATTTGAGTCATATCTAGTGAGCCAGATGAACCTAGCATCTATTATACAGAGTAAAGTAAGTCATAAAGAGAAAAACAAACACTTGTATATTAATGCACAAATAGGGAATCTAGAAAAGTGATTTTGATGAACCTATTTGCAGGTAAGGAATGGAGACTCAGATGTAGAGAAGGGACTTGTGGATACAGTGAAAGAAGGAGAGTAGGATGAATGGAGAAAGTAGCAACATACATACACTATCATCTACTGAACAGATAGCTGATAAGAAGTTGCTAAGAACACAGGGAGTCCAGCCTGGCGCTTTGTGATGACCTAGAGGATGGGATGGCAGGAGAGGAAGGCTTAAAAGAGGGGGTGTGTGTATAATTAAGTCTGGTTTGTGTCACTGTACTGCAGAAACCAACACAACATTATAAAGCAATTTTCCTTCAAATAAAAAATAAATTAAAAAAAAAAAGTCCATCTGAAAGGACAACATACATTTGTTATGGCTTCCCTGGTAGCTCAGCTGGTAAAGAATCTGCCTGGAATGCAGGAGACCCCAGTTTGATTCCTGGGTCAGGAAGATCCCCTGGAGAAGGGATAAGCTACCCACTCCAGTATTCCTGGACTTTCCTGGTGGCTCAGATGGTCCCCTGCAAAGCGGGGGTCTGGGTTTGATCCTTGGATCGGGAAGATCCCTTGGAGAAGGGAACAGCTACCCACTCCAGTGGACAGAGGAGCCTGGTGGGCTACAGTCCATGGGGTCTCAAAGAGTTGGACACCACTGAGTGACTTTCACTTCACTTAACTTCATACAATTGTTAAAACCCACAAGATGCACAAACCAAGAGAAAACCCTATGTAAACTAGGGACTTCAGGTGATAATACTATGTCAATGTAGGTTCACTGATTATGATGACATGTACCCACTCTGATAGAGGATGTTGATAATGGGGAAGGTTATGCACATGTGAAGCAGAACATGTATGGAAAATCTCTGCACCTTCTGTTCAATTTTGCTGTGAACATAGAAGTGTTCTAAAAATAAAGTCTATCTTAAAAAAAAGGTCCATCTAGTCAAAGCTATGGTTTTTCCAGTAGTCATGTATGGATGTGAGAGTTGGACCATAAAGAAAGCTGAGCACCAAAGAATTGATAATTTCGAACTGTGGTGTTAGAGAAGACTCTTGAGAGTCCCGCGGACTACAAAGAGATCAAACCAGTCAATCCTAAAGGAAATCACCCTGAATATACACTGGAAGGACGGATGCTGAAGCTGAAGCTCCACTTTGGCCACCTGATGTGAAGAGTCGACTCATTGGAAAAGACCCTGATGCTGGGAAAGACTGAAGGCAGGAGAAGGGGATGACAGAGGATGAGATGTTGAGATGGCATCACTGACTCAATGGACATGAGTTTGAGTAAACTCTGGGAGATAGTGAAGGACAGCGAAGCCTGGCATGCTGCAGTTCATGGGGTCGCAAAGAGACAGCACAATTTAGTGACTGAACAACAACCTTATTAAAAAAAAAAAGATGTGGAAGCCATAGTTCAAGCTAGTGTAGGAAAACAAAAGAGGGGAGTGAAGGGGAGGGGGGTAGGAAGAAGGAGGAAGAAGGGTTAAGAGAAAAGGAAAAAAAAAGGTACCTGACTCCAAGTTGAAAACAGCATGGTATAGCTACATAAAGTGCTGATGCTATGTTAAATTGTACTATATAGTAAGTACTGTGTCCAGGGCAAGTAAGTACACTCTCACTAATCAGATCTCTGCTGCTGCTGCTAAGTTTATTCTCAGGTGTGGGCACTATTCTCTATAAGCAACACCAACAAGAGAACTCGTGACAGAAGAGAGAGAGACTACATATGAATATATTTCACCTAGGGAAGAGAAAGGCGATATATTAAAAACTGCTTTAAATATGTGAAGGGTCATCTTATTACAGGCAGTCTCTACTTCTTGAGGTAACAGTAAGGGCCAATCAAACATTACTATTTAGATACGAAAGTGAAAGTGAAGTCGCTCAGTCATGTCCGACTCTTTGCAACTCCACAGACAGTAGCCTACCAGGCTCCTCCATCCATGGGATTTTCCAGGCAAGAATTCTGCAGTGGGTTGCCATTTCCTTCTCCAGGGGATCTTCCCGACCCAGGGATCGAACCCAGGTCTCCCTCATTGTAGGCAGACGCTTTACCCCCTGGGCCACCAGGGAAGTTTAGATATAAACATAAGTAAGAAATATACAATAATTGATGAGACTGCCTCATTTTCAAGAAGATCAACTCATCCACCTAGAAAAATGCATGTTTCTGCATTAGCTAAGGGTAGGTTAGGTGACTGCTAAGATCTCTTTCATGTTCTGAGACAGTGTAGCACAGTACTAGTATAAGCTCTGGAGTCAGGGCAACTGTACATATAGACTCAAATTTACTTAGTTATTATTAAGCATGTCAGCCTGGACAAGTTACTTAATCTTTCTTGGTTTTACTTTTCTAATCTGTAAAACAGGGACAATACCAGTTTTAAGGATTTAAAGGAGTTAATAAAATACATGTAAAGAGCTTAGAAAAGTCGTAGAATAAAGTAAAAAGTCAGGAAAGCTACCTGTTTTTATTTTTGAACCCAACAAATATTTACCAAGCACCTCTATCTGCTGGACATCAATTTAACACCAAGGTTTTAAGAGAGTTTATAATTAAGTTTTTATTCTAGTTAAAGTGACATGAGATGCATGACATGAAAGGTCACAAATAACATACAAATAAAGCTGCATAAAAAGAATAGAAAGTAATGGTTGCTATTTTTAAAAGTGTGATCAAGAAAGGATATTCTGATAACTGAAAAATATATGAATGTTACAAGAAAGAAAGCTAAGACAGTATCTCAGTGAACAGTACTTTGAGATGACACAATAGCAAGTAAGCTGGCTGGGATGGAAGAGTAAAAAATGTGAGAAAAGGTGGAAGGTCAGATCCTCTTGGCACCTTACAATACTGTTAAGGACATCAAATGCCTTAAACTCTCAGAGATATGTATAGGCTAATTTTTATTATCACATCATAATGCTTAACCTGCCACATTAAATGACAGAGAAGCAATAAAAATACTAACAGTTCTAGAAATATCTGCTTTATCCAATCTGAAACAAACAACAGTTAGCAAAAGCTAAATAACTGGACCATAATTCTTCAATTAGCTCATACTGAAAGGAACACAAGTAAGTAAATTGGGATGACAAATTTGCTACCAGAGAACAGGAGGATAGAAAAGAGATCATGAATTTACAGAGGAATTAGTCTAATAAGTAAGAATTATATTGCTTGTAAAGCAAACAAAGTACCAAAACTAGAATTGCAATGTGTGTGTATTTAAAACTATGTAAAGTATAATATCTGTGCATTTAAAATTCACATTATAAAGTATCTAAAGGCTGATTTCTAACCAAGAATTGCAGATCTTTCTTTTAAACAAGAAGTGAGAGGTTAATGATATATAATGAATACTAAAATATTTACTCAGCTCTTATTGTATGTCAGGGACTATGCTGAGTACCTAAGCAGCTGAAACATCACCTAAAGTGATTCTCAACCCAAAGTCAAAGCTCTTAAGTGACAGGACCAAAATCCACAATAGCCTGACTTGAAAGATTTGAGTTCTTAACCACTGGGTAATACTACCTCTCCTTTTAGTTACACTGAGATTTGCTCTCTATTCACTCAGCAAAATATTAATCTTGCAGGAATTGACTTCACCTGTCTATCTGCTCGATTTTCAGTAAATCAAATTACTTAGACTTCTCAAATGCTACACCTGAAATGCATGCTACTTATTAATGTTATATACCATATTCTTAAGTAATCTACAATGGAAGGCACAAGTAACCACCAAAAAATTTTCACAAAGAAAAAGCCGTATTTTTAAACATGTCTTTGCTATTTTGTGTGTAAATTCAAAAATTTTGGTGACATAAATTTAAATTTGTTCAAAAAGTAGATAGCTGTTATATACAGACTCAGTCAGTATAAATCACTTTAGCCCTGAGATCTTTCTACAAGGCTTCTAGAGTTACTCAAAACGTTGCTTCAGCTCTTTCACATCTTTATTAAAATGCTAAGCACATTTTTCATCCAGTTTAAAAGGCACAAGATAATTTAAAAGAATGTCTAAGGAAAAAAAAAAAAAAAAACAGTGGGAGGTGGGAGGGAACAAAGGTATACTCTGTCCGATTCATGTTGATGTGTGGCAGAAACCAACACAATATTGTAAAGCAATTATCCTCCAACTAAAAATAAAGTAATTAGCCTCCAACTAATAAAAATAAATGAAAAAAATAAAATAAATTACTTAAGATATAAAAATAAATAAATGTTTAAAAAGAAAAAAAAATAAACCTAACAAGGTTTGTACTGTAATCTGTGGAAAGTAATACATTCAAACCACAAATTTAAACAGATGACTGGCTGGAACTTTGAACATGGTCATTGGAAGAAAAGCATCACAATACAACAGAATGAAGATGACTAAAAGTCAAGAAATTTGAGTTTCAGTCTCCTTTAGCTAGTCAATTCACCTCTCTAGGCTTTTTGCTTTATCATTTGTAAAAGAGAAGCAAATGAAGATGCTACATGCTAGTACCAAGTAAGAACTAGCAAGAAAGAACTTGCTAGCTCTGTAATTTTGTATAATTTATAAATTTCATATAAATTCATAGCTTATATGAATTTATAAATTTCATATAAACTCATATAATTTCATTTCATGACAACTTTATGTCGGGCTGAAATAACACTCTATGCTTGTTTGTTCACATTTGTGAAATATTTTAAAGCTCAAATCAATAAAAAACTGTATTACCTTAAGTTCAGCAACTTGTGATGAAATATGCCACATAAGGCTTTCACTTAGGAACTTCATACCATATGGGCCAAGCAGCTCTGATAATGACCTCATTTCTGTAAGGAAATGGAATTAATTTTATACTTTGACAAAAAAAAATTTAAGAAGCAAATTATTAACTGAAAACTCTAAGAAAAAGTCTCTAGAATAAGAAAGAACATAAAGGCCTAGGTAAGTCTAAAATTAATGTTTGGTTATTCATATAATTGAATGAAAATCATCATAATAGAATAAAAAACCAAAAGAATCAAGGTTTCTTCATTCTCTAAAATATGCCAGAGTATTAGTCACCTGATATGTCAGAATATTCCTCTGCATTAAATGTTAATTCATTTTCCGTAGGTAAATTCACAAATGCTTTCATTGCAGGGAAATAAGCTATATGACCATTGCTGACTTGTCTTAACAAAGTTTCCAAATACCTAAGGAGAAGAGTAAATTTGCAAACTGGAGAAATTAATTAAAAACTTACTAAGGTATACATTTCTTAATATAATTTTAAAGTTGACTAATAACACAAACAAGCATTAATCCATTTTAAAAACTTCTGTAAGTCATTCATTACAAAGAAATTTTTTATCATTCCAAATTTCTAAATATGTTTCTTACCAATTTGTGTATAGACTTGTAATGGTTGGTTCTCCATGACTGTCTAAATGTTGTGTTTGTTGAAGAAGAACGTTATTAAATACTCTTGTAATATCAATTTGCACATAGTTTTCTATTGATTGGAGTACAGTCATGTATGCTCTTACACTTGTTAGAAGCTCTGATGGTTTTGCAATTTCCTGTGTGGCTTGATTATACATAGTCATTCCAACAATTGACCTGGAGTGGGGATGGTAGAAAAAATTAAAAAGCTCTGATTTTTGTATTTCTGTAAATAGGCCATTCAATCTACAATTCATGAAATTACTACTATCATTATCTTCCAAAGCAACAACTTTAAAAAAAAAGAACATAGATATACAGGAATGAAATGGGGATGCAAGTGATTAAAAAAATACTAAGGGCATCAGCAATAAAAGTGATTTAAGAATAAAGAGGGTTTTAAAAATTCCTTTAACATGATATGTTGTCTCCGGCAAGTAAATGGACTATTCAAGTCTATCGCTTGAATTTCTTTAGCACTGTTACGCACCAGTACTTTTTTAGGCCTTAAATATATTACCTACAGTCTTCATATTTAATAACCCCACTGTGAAGTTATCACCATCATTTCATAGAGGAAAGAACAAATCTAAGGTGCAGAACTCAAGTAAACTGATTAAGGTCACTTTGGAAGTGCATGCATGTGTGCCTCTTTGCGACCCTATGGACAGTAGCCCGCCAGGCTCCTCTGTCCATGGGATTCTGCAGGCAAGGGAAGTGGGTTGCCATGCTCTCCTCCAGGGGACCTTCCTGACCCCAGGGTTCGAACCTGTGTTTCCTGTGGTTCTTTCATTGCAGGTGGATTCTTTACTGCTGAGCTACCAGGGAAACCCGAAAATTCCCTAATCATTAGATTTATAAAGATCTTAGACTTGTATCTGTAAGGATAAATTCATAAAGGCAACAAACCCCATCACTAGTAAGAGTCCCAAAAGAACAACTCAAGATGAAAACTGCTTGTACTTGTACGAAACTGTCCTTGTACACGGCCACCAAGTCTTTACAATTGTGTGCAAGTAATCAGCAAAAATCAATCAACTAATACTCACAAACTATCTGTCCTGGCATAAAAATACTTCCCAGGTAAACAAGTATACAGCCTTGCCTTGAACCTGATCACTAAGTAGATGTTTGATAAAAAGAATATCTGCTTCTCCGTGGATTAACGGACTGGACTGTTTACAGAAGGAAAACAAGGGAGCTGTACACTGAACTCTACCTTCCACACAACACTGCACCAATCCACCGAGTTGTGAGTGATAAGTATCAGAAGGCGTAACGTCCTACGGTCTAAATACTGAAGCAGTTTTGGTTTCACTGTCAGGATGCCTTCCTTACTAAAGAAGAGCAAGAGAGTCTTTGCTCAACACCAGACTCTTCGCAACTGATGACCTGACACTCAATTTACTGCAATTTACATATTCTATTTTCTTTCTATTTCATTTCTATTCTATTTTCTATAGTTGCTGCAGCTCTAAGCTTTATACAGTTTTATTATTACTCACATTTCTTAACACAATGTTACACGTAAGGCACAAATACTTGTTAGCGACCACAACCTTTAGCCAAACCTTTTGAAAATCCTTAGGCAAAATTTCTTTCATAAATTGCTCAAAGGCCTTTAAGAAAAATGTATTGAATCAATCAATATTTATTTATTTCTTTAATAAATAAATGTGTAACTTTAGAAAAAGGCTGAAGCAACATTTACAAAATTTCTGACTTGTTACATATAATATCATTTCAAGAAACATAACTTATAAGACTAATTAGAATTGAGTGCCTCAAGGGTCTAGAATTCTATCGGCATAACAGCATACTTTGGAGTTCACAAGACTTTAGGGTTCATCCAACCCTGAGGTTTTCACACATGTGACTGTGACCCACTATAAGATATGTATCTAATATCACCAACTCAGTACTGAAAAGTTCCATGAAACAATATTTCTACTTACTACATGCAATGCACTGAGTTTTCCCCCCTATTTCTTCTTCCTTCTTTCCTTTCCTCTCTCTTTTTTCTTTCTTTGAATGTTCACTACAACTTTCTAAACCGATTCCATGATCCTCTGGGACTGCCACCGGCCAGCTGAAGTACACCAATTTGCTCTGATCGTCTCCTTTTTCTTAGATAGCACATTAAAAAGCAGAGACATTACTCAGCCAACAAAGGTCCGTTTAGTCAAAGATATGGTTTTTCCAGTGGTCATGTACGGATGTGAGAGCTGGACCATAAAGAAGGCTGAAAGTAAAAGTCGCTCAGTCATGTCCTACTGCACCCCATAGACTATACAGTCCATGGAATTCTCCAGGCCAGAATACTGGAGTTAGTAGCAGTTCCCTTCTTCAGGGGAGCTTCCCAACCCAGGGATCGAAGCCACATCTCCCGCACTGCAGGTGGATTCTTCACCAGCTAAGCCACAAGGGAAGCAAAGAAGGCTGAGCGCCAAAGAGTTGATGCTTTTGAACTGCAGTGCTGGAGAAGACTCTTCAGAGTCCTTGGACTGCAAGGAGATCAAACCAGTCAATCCGAAAGGAAATCAACCCTGAATATTCACTGGAAGGACTGCTAGAGCTGAAGCTCAAGAAGCTCTAATACTTTGGCCACCTAATGCAAAGAGCTGACTCATTAGAAAAGACCCTGACGCTCGAAAAGAATGAAGGCAGGAGGAGAAGGGGACGACGGAGGATGAGATGGTTGGATGACATCACTGTCTCGATGGACGGGAGTCTGAGCTCAGGGAGTTGGTGATGGACAGGGAAGCCTGGTGTGCTACACCCCATGGGGTTGCAAAGAGTTGGACACAACTGAGGGACTGAACTGAACTGAACTGTCCTTTTTCTTATAAGGAAATTAAGGCTCACAGAGATTAACTAGCCTCTCTGGTATTACAATGAGCTAACAAGTGTGGGGTAAGACTGGGTAATTTAAGTAATTCGCAGTTCACTAGTCTTCATACTTCCCAGTTATTTTTCTATAGTACAATTTTACTAATTTATATACCATTTCTACTAATGCTTTCCCTCATAAAAGTAAAGACTGCATAGATATGAAGAATAAATATAACAAATTCATTAACTTAATCAACAAACAAAAACGGCTTATATTCTTTCTTACTTAGTAAAGCGGATTTCCAGATGAGAAGTCAAATATTCTCGTGGGGTAAAAGTATGTTCCCAAACCACCATGTTTGGTACATAATTTATAGAGAAACACAACTCGGAAAGTGCAGTGTGCAACTTATCAAGGCTGAAAAAATATTAATAAACAGTAAAGAAAAAATTTAACATTTCATAATAGCAATATGAAATTAATTTCATAAGTATATCAGAATAGTAATGGCAAAATTCAACTTTTCGTCTCTCTTAAACTGACATGTTCAATATATAACAAGATGCAAAATAGTGTCAGACATCTAATTTCAAATAAACTGAAAATTACAGATTGCTTATAGTATACCCTCTCCAAATTTTTAGACAGGTTCTTGGCCTTCAATATTCAACATATAAAAACAAATGACATCTATTACATGTACTTTCTTCAAAAATCCAAAGTAAGTACTTTTGGATTAAATAAGCACTAACTGGCTGATCAAGTTCACAAATGTCAAAAAACATTAACAACTGGGAAATGAAGAATTTACAATTACTAGCATTTCCTCAGTACTAATGCCATACAAAAAGTGGAAAACAACAACAACAACAACTCTTCTACTTGTAACAAAAAGATACAGTAATAGTGGATGACTTACTTGGTCACGACCAGCCTGTTTTTCCTCATGCTTTCAACTCCTGGTTTTTCCCTTTCAGGTTCCCCTTTCTTACCAGTCTGTTTTTTTGACTTCTTATTCACTGCTTGACTGATGGTTTTGGCACAATGCTTGGGCAACAACTAAATTTATAAATAAATGAAATCATACATAACAATTACTCTGAAAACACTGACTACTGAAGCAAACCTCAGCTAAACCCAGACTATGCGGCAAATACGCTAGCACTAAGAACAGAGGTGATAAGTGAGATGTAGCATTTACCTAGCCAGCTTGGAGAGCCCACTCAGCTTGGAAAACACAGAAACAGGTAAATCTTGTGTGAAGAGACATTTCATAGAGGTAGTTATAGCAAAGCTACAGTTCAAGGACAAATTAAAAAATACCAGGCAAGTGAGGAATAAGAAAGAATATTTTACTGAAGGGAAAATGGCCTATGAAGATCAAAACTATGATAGAACACAATGTGCTCTGAATCTAATTAGAATGACTCAGTAGTGGAGCATAAAATATGGGGGAGAGATATTCGAGCTACCTTGGGAAGGGATTTGAATGCCAAGCTAGAGGTTGGATTTTAAACCATAACCCTAAAGACAGTGGCAATTTCTTAAAGACCTAACAACAGAGCTTCATAATAAGAGGTAATGAGATTTACTGAGAGTTTGAGGATAAAATTAAAAATGGAAAAAAAAAAACAACCAAAAAAAGAATTTCCTGCCCTCAAAAAAAATTTCCCTATCTGTAAGGAAACATTTAAATTATTACCTGGTCACTAAGAGTACACTGTTCTGTGCAAATATCAGTGATGAGATTTCGAGCTTGTTTGGCCATTTCATCAAGGAACATATTACATAAGGAAAGACTGCGATCTCCAATATGATGTCTCTGTTAAAGAAAAATAGTAACAAAAACAGTAAAAATTATAACAAAGTAATTTGAATGAACAAATCTAGACAAACCTAGAAAGCATATTAAAAAGCAGAGACATTACTTTCCCGACAAATGTCCATCTAGTCAAAGCTATGGTTTTTTCCAGCAGTCACGTATGGATGTGAGAGTTGGACCATAAAAAAAGCTGAGCGCCGAAGAATTGATGCTTTTGAACTGTGGTGCTGGAAAAGACTCTTGGGAGTCCAGTCAATCCTAAAGGAAATAAGTTCTGAATATTCATTGGAAGGACTGATGCTGAAGCTCCAATATTTTGGCCACCTGATGCAAAGAACCGACTCATTGGAAAAGACCCTGATGCTGAGCAAGACTGAAGGCAGGAGAAGGGGATGACAGAGGATGAGATGGTTGGATGGCATCATGAACTCGACGGACATGAGTTTGAGCAAGCCCCAGGAGTTGGTGATGGATAGGGAAGCCTGGCGTGCTGTAGTCCATGGCGTCACAAAGAACTGGACATGACTGAGCAACTGAACTAACTAATTTGAATTAAAAGAGTTTTTAAATAAACATAGAAAATAGGTTCAAGTCTATCCTGTATAAGGAGTGAATATGGGAGATGTTATAGATCTCTTTTATCTCTTATAAAAACTAACCTACCATATCGTATTTGTACACATTTGACACAAAGTAAGTACTTGGTGACTATACAAGTATGACTGGAAGGAATCTGGAAGGACCACTATTTTCCTTAACATGAAAAATGTTCAAATTCAACAATGTCCTGTATCCAGTTCTTAAATACTAAAATATCAAACATATGAAAGAACAGATTTAGAGTAACATTTGCTGATCTCACTTGATTATATACATACGTGTGTGAGTGTGTATATACATATCTTAGCAAAGAATTTTGTAGTGTATAAACAGAAAACAAGTGTTCAAATATTTAAGTAATATCATTAAAAATCGAGAGAGTAAAACAAATTCACAAGTCATTCAATTCTCTAAAATCAAATTCCATATCCCAGAAGAGGAAAAAAGCTGACTATGCATGCATTTTCTGAACTCCATAGGGGAAAAAAAGAACATCATCCCTAACTCTTAGGAGGTTATGTATGTATATGTAGACACATGCGCTGTGCTGTGCTGAGTGCTCAGTCATGTCCGGCTCTTTGTGACACCATGGGCTGTAGCCCGCCAGGCTCCTCTGTCCATGGGGGTTCTCCAGGCAAGAATATTGGAGTGGGTTGCCATGCTCTCCTCCAGGAAATCTTCCCAACCCAGGGATCAAACCCAGATCTCCTGCACTGCAGACGGATTCTTTACCTTCTGAGCCACCAGGGAAGCCCATGTAGATACATACACTCATTCAAATCCATCTATTTCTAGCTACAGAATTCTGTATCCTTTTAGTTTTGGTCAGTGCTGCAATAGTTTAACAGGTTTTTCTTGTTAACGGTAATTGGAATGTTGAATATATAATACTGTATAACTTTGCCCTATACAATTTGCAATATTTTACAAAGAGACAGATTTTTACTTTTCTATTTTTATTTTAAAAATTTTTATTGAAGTACAGTTGATTTAAAATGTGTGTTAGTTTCTGGAGACAGATTTTTATAAGTTTTCCTTCACTGACCTTCCATAATTATATATAAAAAAAATGTAGACATTACAAACATTATTTCTATGCTGAAATAAATGTAAGATAATATAGAATATAAAAATACTTAAACATGTAAAACAACTGTTCTTAGATGTACCATATTACCTTGTAACATATTTGATTTAAATGCCCTTTAAAACTTGAACAGGCAGCAAAACCAAAAGGGATCTACAGACCAGATACAATTAAATAATGGTTCACTTTATTTAAAAAAAAAATTTCAAATTATAGACATTTGGATTTTGTTTAACCAAATTCTGACTCCTGAAAGATAATACATCCCTTGCCATCCCTTCTTCCTGAAAAAAAGGACTTGAACTAGCATTGCTTCAAATTTACTAAACTAACTTATTTAAAATACAGATCTGACTTCACTACTTCTCCTCAATGGCTCAAAAATGCTGAGACTGGAAAACAAAACAACTAGAGTATAACTCTGGCTCCATGCTGAGAACAGGATAATGACGGAAGCAGAGACCACGTGGGAGACAGTAACAGTCATCCAGGCAGATGATGCTGGGGCTTGTTCACAGGTGAGAAGAGGCAGGAGTCTGAACACTTATGTAACAGGAAAGCCAAAAGCAGAAAAGGCTTCAAGTTGGGGTGGATGGGGAAAAATCAGTGATTCTACGCTGGACATGTTACACTTCAGATAGCTAAAAATACCTAGGGTGCAGTAAGATATAGAGAAAATCTAACTTGAAGGGAAAGATCTGGGCTGCAGATATAGACTGAAGAGCCATTAGCATAAACAAGATTTTTAAACAATGAGACTGAAAAAGATAAATGGCCTGCTATACTGGATGGTATAGCTGCAGCAACTCAATACATAGGTTCCCATTAGTACTGGCTACCATTATCTACAAATCCTGCTGACCCAAGATGGTGTGAATTTCAAATCTAATTCAAAAGGTACTTTCTTTCTGCAAATTTACTGTAAGTACTCCAGGTTAAAAAAGGGCTGCATCAAAAAGTTATTTTATAGGCCTTTTCTATAATCCTTCTGATCTAAATGAGATGAAAGGCTAAAACTAAAACTGTAAATTAAGACTGCACTGAGAACTATTAACTCTGCACACCAGCTTACTGTATCCTCATCCAAAGGTGAATTCCCTCAGTGTTCCAAGAGTGCCCCATGTATATTTCTACCACAACACAGGTCATCAAATCATGGACTTGTCTAGGGTAAAGACTGTCTTTGCAGCCTTTCAATTACAGGTTTAAGAAAACTGGCTGGAATGTAATGGGCTTTAACAAATTAGCTAAATGAAAAACAGAATAGTGCCAGTCATGTCCAACTTGGTGACCTCAAGGACTGTAGCCTGCCAGGCTCCTCTGTCCATGGGATCCTCCAGGAAAGAACACTGGAGTGGGTTGCCATTCCCTCCTCCAGGCAATCTTCCCGACCCAGGGATTGAACCCATGTCTTCTGCTTGGCAGGTGAATTCCTTACCACTGAGTCACCTGAAAAGTGTCTATATATGTGTGTATGCATGCACACAAAATTGTCCATTTTTGTCCAACTCTTTGCGACCCTATGGACTGTAACCCACCAGGCTGTTGTCCATGGGATTCTCCAGGCAAGAACACTGGAGTGGGTTGCCATGCCCTTCTCCAGAGGATGTTCCCAATCCAGGGATCAAACACTAGATTTTCAATGCCTGAGAAGTTTCTACCTTCTCCATATGCAATGGAGAACTCTAACGGTATTTTAAGAAGGAAAGACACAATCTAGTGGCACTGTGTTTGTCTTTAAGGCAAAAATATTGAAGGAAGAAAAATTATTTAGGAGTAGATATGAAAACCTTTGAAAAGCTGAACTACAATAGTGCCAACAGCAATGGAAAGTAAAGGATGGATTCAAGAAATTATATTACACAAATAAAATTAAGAGGACATGATGAGTAATTAATGTGAAGGATGACAGTGAGAAAGAAACTGACATCTTACATCACACATTACATGACAGTATATCTTAGGTATCACGATTAGAAGGAAAAATCTTTCATTCTAAAAAATCCATAGTGCTATTAAAATTGGTGGTGTCATATCATCTCACAGGTATTAATTAATCCTAAAAGCACTCCCTAATAAATTTCCTGTAGGATTAATGGAAAACAACGTGCAACAGAGAGTACCCAACGCTTAAAGATAACAATGCTACAGCTCTTCTTCTTTTTTTTTCATTTATTTTTATTAGTTGGAGGCTAATTAATTCACAACATTGCAGTGGGTTTTGTCATACACTGCAGCTCTTCTTACGTGTCTTCTCTACAAGTTCTGTAGTTCTAAGTGAAAGGATTCAACACTAAGCTATGTTTTAAAATACTATCTAATTTTAATATATACTTACCATACGCACTGTTATTCTTCTTCAACGATGAGAATAAATACTGAAAGTACACTTTTGACAGATACTTGGTATGTGTAAAACTACAGAGTACTTTAATTACTCAGTAACTGTGTGTGCCACTATGTGAATTCTTACAAACACTGGCAAATCTCAATTTTGCTTACTATATCTATTATATTAACAAGTCAGTGAAATGCTTCTTTGAAAGGCTTATATTTAGTCAGCAATGTCTCCATTCAATTTGCAAGTATTTTCAATAAGTGTTTCAGAGGAAAACTAAGCATATAAATATCACTCATTATATATAACTTTACCATAAATATTAATGCCTGACTCACTATTTTAATAAAGGTTAATTCCAAGTGGTTTTATGCCTGGGAAATCCCATGGACAGAGAAGCCTAACAGGCCACAGTCAATGGGGTATCAAAAGAATCGGACACAACTGAGTGACTAAACAAGTGATTTTATGATGTGTTCTTAGAAACATGCATCTGCATTTATCCAATCATTTAAACAAATATTACATCATATGCCTAATCAAGCATTCTTCTGACTTCACAGAGATACATTAGGTGGGCAGGTAGGTTAGGTAACGATGACTTTGTGAGTCTTTGTGAACATTTGGTCAGCTGTATGCTTGGAGGAGTTTATTCTGCATACTATATTAATACAATACTACTCTGAAATTACCTCTTCTGGACACAGTTCATGTGTGCAACTCATAAAATGAGTGCAAAGCAGTGGAAATGCAATTGAGTATCTTGACTGAGAGGGTAACTCCAAACATTGTTGAAACATCTTCTCAAAAGCACGACTATAAAAACTATAAGGAAACAAATTAAAAATCAGAATCACAATTTTTATAGTTAAAAGTTAGTTTAATTTGATTCAAGTAAATGAAAATTACCAACTGTAGCATTTATTCTTGTAGGAAAAGTTATTTTCCCAAAGAGTTCTCTTTCATACCAATAATCATTTCAGGGTTATAAAAATATTATTTATATAACATCAACACATTTTAAAATAAAAGTTAAAGAGAAAATAAGCCATATCTATGGCATTTGAATATATACCATTTAAACCTTACAGCATCAAAAGTCATCAAAGCTAAGACACTATCAATTGTAAGAAACACCTTTATGTACCACTAAAAAAGAAAAATACTGTCAATTAAACAATAATACACCATCAACTTTAAATTATTTCCAGATTGAAGAGATGTTAAATCTAAAAGAATATGAGGTGATAAAATATAGGTTTAATACATCTTGGAAAAATAAAACAAAGAAGTAGTGAACATGTCTTTATTTTGGATGTGACAAAGTAAGAATGTGGTTAACAGAAAGTATGAATATAAATTAATTAAATGACTGCAAATTTGCAAATTTTAAACATTATTCAAAGTACCTTATTTCCAGGAAAGAGAAGAGGAATTTATTTTCTTTTTGAAATTAATTTATTTGGCTGTACTGGTTCTTAGCTGCAGCATGCAGGATCTCTGGTCATCGCTGCAGTATGTGGGATCTAGTTCCCTGACCAGGAATAGAACCTGGGTCCCCTGCATTCAGAGTATGCAGTCCTAGCCAATGGACCACCAAAAAGTACCCAGAAGAGGAATTTCTAATTGCTGTATCTTTCTTTTACAATATATAGCTCAAAAATAGCTAAACATAAAATGTTACATTTTCTTTTCAAGGTAGCCTCCGGGGTCAGACAATAGGACAGGGTTCCAAATCTTTAAACTCTTACAAACTTGTTACATAATAACTGTATTTCCTCAGTTTCTTTAAGAGATCCTTTATGTCTTCCCTGCTGATTAATTTGGATTTCTTCTGCAAAACTGCTAATTAAAGCCCCACTACAAACTGCAAAAATCAGGGCAGACTGGTTTTCTCCCCAAAACAAAATTAATCACAAGCTTTTCATAATGATCTCTACTCAATACAGAGAAACTACTATCACTATCCACTGAGGCTATTTCAGCATTTCAGAATTGAAGAAACCTACCAGGCTATTCTCATCAGCTTCCCTAAAGGAAAAAAAAGATCAAGAAGCAGAAACAGAGTGGACACCGCACAGCTCTGAAATCAGAATACTTAAGTCTGAGTTCCGACACCACTGTTTATTAATTTCATCACAGTCAAGTTCACTTATTCATTTAAATATTTATTAAGTACTTACTCTGCTAAGACACTAAGGAAACAAAACCTTGGCCTCCTTCAAGAACCACATAATGTGGGGAGTGAAGGGGGAGCTACAACTACTGAGAGTAACAGAAGAACTTCATAACAGAAGCAAAGGAGAGGGGAGCACAGTGAGGGAACGGCATCACATTATCATAATGTTAATAGCTAACTTAATACCACAGAGTGAAACCTGTGCTATTGATTTTCTGACATTTGCTCTATTTGACCCCTATCCAAATTTTTTTTTTCCTTTAATGACACAATTTGAAGTGACTGTTCACTTCTTCAAAGAAAGTGTAAAAAAACAAATTCACATCAGTAAGAGGTGCTCTTATAGAGAATTAAAAACAGACATAAGATCCCAACATAGCAAACTTCACTACTGGCAGGTTGTTCTCTATTCCCTTTATTCTTAGAATCTCTAATTAAAACTGTCTTAAGCAACACACTAATGTAAAGTAATCAAGAAACATATCTTTGGATAATAAAAATTTCAAATTCTAATTTAAAGAAAATCACAACATACCAAAATATGGAGAGATCTGATGTTTCCACCAACATTTCCACCAAGGAATCTACCATTTTTGTGTGAAAAATTATTGTATTCATCATCTTTCCAAGTTCTCTGTGATCTGAAAGGCTAAGTGAAGCCTTAGAGACACTAGTATATGCCTGAAACAGTGAACAAAGAAAACAAAAGTAGTTTAGGCAATGACTTCAGGTATAGACCAAGTCTACAGGAAAAAAAAGAAAAAATACCCACTATTGAAAAATACTTAAAGTTTATTAACAACATCATCTTTTAAAAATTGTCTCCAGTGACTCAAACTTAAAATTCCTATCAAGAATTTCTTTAAGTAAACTGAAATACTATCCAGAAAACAGAATCTAATACATGGGTCATTCAGCTTGAACTCCTAAAGTAAGTGAAGCTACATATCAAAGATATAAAACAATGAATTGTCACATGGTGTCCCTACCAAAAGAAGTTTTCAACTTAGTTCAAGAGAAAACACATATTCAAAACAGTAAGATGAAACTTAAGTACAGCACATGTTGACTCAGGGAGGTTTTTGATTATACTGAATCATTAAAAACTGGAGAGCGTAACACACTGTACTAATTGATGAATTCTAGAGAAGCATTCTGAAGGTGGTAAAATTAGTGTTAAGTTGATAAAAAAAGGTGACAGGTTTTAACCAAAACCATCAGGACAGGTTGTGAGGGAAAGAAATTCCACTAAAGAGGTACCAACTCACTGAAAGCAAAACCTGGCCTTGGGTGGTGGACATTTCACAAGCAAGGAGAACAACAGGAGGGATGCCTACAGAATAAACACCATATATCATGCTGAAGAATTTAAACTTTTTGATAAATCACCGAAGGTTCTGCGTGATGGATAATTACTGCTTAGAAAGATTGTTCTATGCTTAGGTGGAAACACAGAGGACTGGAAAAGGAACCAGGAGGCAGAGATTCTTAGGAGGCAGTAGTGGTAACAATCCAGACAGGATTATGAGATGGTCTAGGGTGGTAAGGTTCAAAAGTGTTTAATCGGAATGACTAGATGTGGTAGGCAACGGAAGAATTATGGTTGATGGCCATGGTCCTGCCTTTTGGGAGACATTCCTTCATGAATTTCACATGTGCCTACACAACTTGCTTGATATGCCAAGAAAGCACAGCCCAGACCACTCGCTATCTCAGCCATTTCTCCAGGCCTCAGAGCTACCAAACTTGAAAAATAAAGTAATGTGTCCCTCTAGAACAAAGAGCAAATATGCTTATTGTTGATGATAAAACAGAGAGTTCCTCAAACTCAGTCCTCCTTAGTTTAAGACATGCTCAATGCATACACAGCATTCATCCGGGTCTCTCTGCACTACCCGCAAAAGACACGAAAGCAAGGGAAAAACAATGTATATATCTGGATGCTCATGGCACTTCCTGTGCAGTGAATTAAGTTCTCTGTCTCTAATCTAGGAGACCCATGTCTTCTCCTAGTATCCATGAAACAGTAAGAGACTAAATAATTATTGCCTTTTAAGTAAGAGAAAGATCAAATTTCAGTCTCTCCAGTGGGAAAAGGTCACTACATAGATGAAGTTACCATTCACTAAGGCAGGCGCATCACAAAGCAGAGTTCTATAGTTTGGTGTTTGTGTCTTCTACCAGAAAAAGGGAGAGAATGTAGAATATGATGGCAATACACTAGTGGCAAGATGTATTCTGGACATTCATCACAAAGTAAGTCTAACTGAAGTGTAATTCACCTTTCATCAGTTTTAAAGTACAAAAAGAAACCAGTAGTGGTTATGAGTTCAATAAAGACTTCCACTAACTGAGAATAATTTTTAAATTTCTGAATTAAAGTATCACTGTGAAAATAAATTCAGATGAAATGGACAGTGACAAAATGAGATAATTTAATTTAAAACTCTTGACAACAGTGGAGGGAGAAACATACTTCATTAAAAAAAATAAAAAAAACTGGTTTAAATAAAAGTCTAAAATATGAACTACCCAAGTAAATTAGAAGGCAGAAGAGAATGAGTGACTGAAGATGCTTAAGGGACTAATGGAACAAACAGCAGAATGAGATCCTGATTGAGGAAAAGAAAAAATGGCCAAGAATACATGTAGAGAGGGAGAACTCTTCTTTTAAGACTACGAAGATCCCAGTGAAGGTAGCAAAGCATACTATCACATTCCCTGAAAGGCGTATTCTTCTAGCCCTGCCCTGCTCAAGAAGTGATATATACAGAGCTCTACATCTTTCTCTGACCATATACTTACACCTAGTAACTCTTATCCTTCTATCAGATCACTGATCAAATTCAGATCATTCATATTGCTGTGAAGGTATTGTCCTTCCTATAGTAATATCTTACATTAAGAGGGCTCTTTTCTTGCCCTTTCCTGTGTAAGCGATTCTCCTACTCCAACTTGACCCATCTTTCAGTGTGAGGATAACAAGCTGTTTCCTCTATGAAGCCATTACTAGTCATTCCACTTGAAAAAAACTTTCTCCTAAGAAAACTGTAATTAATTGACAAACACACTCTGTCAGTGTACTGATAATCATACTGTCATTTTATCTGAAGCTTTTAAACTATTAACATTTTCCTATCTTTTATGCCTTGTCTCCAAAGCCAGATGTATAGAATATCCAAATGAGGATTGTACTCAACTGTATAAGTTGTCAGTATTTTATCTCCCACATCCTGTAGCCTAGTCTGTGATCTTGAAAGCCTCACAGTTGACTTGCTCTTGGTCATCTATGCAAACATCCCAGGTTCTGGACATTGCCTTCTACCTTGCGTTTTTGTCCTCTTTTCCTAGGTAAGGCTTAGTTTTATGTCCCATTACTTTCATCCTTGGTATGTTTTGACCTATTATCACTATAAGATAAGAGTCTAATACACAACAGAAAGGAGCTGAGTGCCTGTTTGTCCTAACCATGGTTAAGAGCAATGTTATGGGTTGAACTGTCTCTCCCAAAAAGATATGTTGAAAGTATAACCCTTAATACTTCAGAATATAACTTTATTTGGAAATAGGGTCTTTATAGACATAAGTTAAGATTAGATCATTAAAATGGACTCTAATCCAGTATGACCAGTGTCTTTATAAAGAGAAGAAATTTGGACAAAGAGATAAACAAAGAAGGAAGATGATGTGAAGAGAGATAGCGATGTCATTACTGTTCTAAGGGAAAATAAAACATTCTCACACAGGGATATATCAATTCTATACCCCTAATGCTCACTCTAAAGCTTCATACATTGCTGTATGACTGCAATAGACAAAGGTAAAATTCTCAAGTGAGTTTTTCAAATGAGTAAGTTGAATAATTCTGGAAGTATTCAAATAAGGGTTAATTTGAAAGGCATCTAAATCTGTAAAATTCTCTGAACATAAATGTTGGCTTAGGAAAACTCCCATAAACTGAGAGTAAGAGATTGAAAACAGTTCAAACTTGTGACGATGACTTTCAAATTTTTTAATGTGTATATATCCGTTGGCACAGTAATTCTATTTTCAGTCATTTAATAAGCATGACTTACACACTGTTTCATAAGGTTTTTTAGCACAAGAAAATGTTAATTTTAAATGTTTATTTAAAAATAAAAACTTTACTTTTAACTGGAAGAAAATAACATATATACTATTAAATATTTGGAGGTGGTAGTATCTCAAGTATTCTTCCCTGAGTTCCCACTAATCAGTTCTGCGATTTCAGGGAAGTTACTTAAAACATAACTAATTATCAACTCACATCTGTCACAATGGCTATTATAAAAAAGATAATATATAAAGAGAGTTCGAGAGGATGTGGAGAAAAGGAAATCTTGTTTGTCAATGGTGGGAACGGAAATGGGTGCAGCCACTATGGAAAACAGTACAGAGGTTCCTCAAAAACTATAAACAGAACTACCATATGCTCCAGCAATTCCACATCTGGTATTTATCTGAAGAAAATGAAAACACTAATGCAAAAAAGATATCTATATCCCTTTGTTCACTGCAGCATTATTTACAATAGTTACAACATGGAAATAACCTGTGTCTACTGATGGATGAATGGACAAAAAAATTGTGGGATACACACACACACACACACAAAACTAGGAATATTATTCAGCCATGAAAAGAGAAAGGAAAACTTGCTATTTGTGACAATATAGATGGGCCTTGAAGGTACTGTGCTAAATGAAAGAAGTCAGAGAAAGGCAAATATCATATGATCTCTCACTTACATGTGGTATCTAAAATGACAAAAACAAACCAAAATGAACAAAAGAAAAAACCAAACTCACAGATACAGACAACAGATTGGTGTTTCCTAGAGGCAGAGACGGAGTCAGGGGTAGGTGAAATGGGTACAGTAATCATAAGATACAAACTTCCAGTTACAAAATAAATAAACATGTATCCTGAAGAGCAAAGTCAAGTGGGCCTTAGGAAGCATTACTATGAACAAAGCTAGTGGACCTGATGGAATTCCAGCTGAGCTATTTCAAATCCTAAAAGATGATGCTGTTAAAGTGCTATACTCAACATGCCAGCAAATTTGGAAAACTCAGCAAAGGCCACTGAACTGAAAAAGGTCAATTTTCATTTCAATCCCAAAGAAAGGCAATTCCAAAGAATGTTCAAACTACTGCACAACTGTACTCATCTCACACGCTAGCAAGGTCATGCTCAAAATCCTCCAAGCTAGGCTTCAACAGTACTTGAATCGATGTACAAGTTGGATTTAGAAAAGGTGGAGGAGCCAGAGATCAAAGTGCCAACATCTGTTAGATCACAGAAAAAGCAAGAGAATTCCAGAAAAACATCTACTTCTGCTTTATTGACTATGCCAAAGTCTTCTGACTGTGTGGATTACAACAAACTGTGGAAAATTCTTCAAGAGATGGGAACACCAGACCACCTCACCTGCCTCCTGAGAAACCTGTATGTAGGTCAAGAAGCAACAGTTAGAACCAGACATGGAACAACAGACTGGTTTCAAACTGGGAAAGGAGTACGTCAAGGCTATACATTGTCACCCTGCTTATTTAACTTATATGCAGAGTACATCATGTGAAATGCTAGGCTGGATGAAGCACAAGCTGGAATCAGGATTGTGGAGAGAAATATCAATAACCTCAGATATGCATATGACACCACCCTTATGGCAAAAAGCAAAGATGAGCTAAACAGTTTCTTCATGAACATGAATGAGCAGAGTGAAAAAGCTGGCTTAAAACTCAACATTCAATAAACTAAGATCATGGCATCTGGTCTCATCACTTCATGGCAAATAAACAGGGAAAAAAATGGAAGCAGTGAGAGACTTTATTATCTTGGGCTCTAAAATCACTGCAGATGGTAACTGAAGCCATGAAATTAAAAGATGCTTCCTCCTTGGAAGAAAAGCTAGACAGCCTATTAAAAAGAAGAGACACTACTTTGTTGACAAAAATCCATCTAGTCAAAGCTATGGTTTTTCCAGTAGTCATGTATAGATGTGATGAGTTGGACCATAAAGAAGGCTGAGCACTGAAGAATTGATGCTTTCAATTTATGCTATTGGAGAAGGTTCTTGAGAGTCCTTTGGACTGCAAGGAGATCGAACCCAGGCAATGCTAAAGGAAATCAACCCTGAATATTCATTTGAAGGACTTATGCTGAAGTTTCAGTACTTTGGCCACCGGATGCAAAGAGCCGACACACTGGAAAAGATCCTGATTCTGGGAAAGACTGAAGGCAGGAGAAAAGAGGACGACAGAGGATGAGATGGTTGGATGGCATCACCGATTCAATGGACATGAGTTTGAGCAAGCTCTAGGAGATGGTGAAGGAGAGGGAAGCCCGGCTTGCTGCAACAGCAAAGTGTTGGACACAACTGAGCAACTGAACAACATGGGCTTCCCTGTTACTCAAACGGTAAAGACACTACCTGCAATGTGGGAGACTGGGGTTCAATTCTTGGGTTGGGAAAATCCCTCGGAAAAGACAATGGCTATCCATTCCAATATTCTTGCCTGGAAAATCCCATGGACAGAGGAGCTAGTCAGACTGCAGTCCATGGGGCTGCAAAGAGTTGGGCATGACTGAGTGACTAACACGTTCACTGTCTTTCATGCAATATATAGGATGGTGACTATGATTAATAAGACAGTATATATGAAAGTTGCTAAGCAAGTAAATCTTAAAAATTCTCATCACAAGAAAAAATAAATTTTTAACTACATACGGTGATGAATATTTACCAGATTTATTGTTGATCATTTCAAAATACACATATACACTGAAATCACTGCTGCATACCTGAAACTAACATAATGTGAAGTTCAGTTCAGTTCAGTCACTCAGTTGTGTCCAACTCTTTGCAACCCCATGAATCACAGCACGCCAGGCCTCCCTGTCTATTACCAACTCCCGGAGTTTACTCAAACTCATGTCCATCGAGTCGGTGATGCCATCTAGCCATCTCATCCTCTGTCGTCCCCTTCTCCTCCTGACCCCAATCCCTCCCAGCATCAGGGTCTTTTCCAATGAGTCAACTCTTCGCATGAGGTGGCCATGTTACATGTCAATTATATCTCCATTAAAAAAAGCTTTTTCCATGAGGTAAAGACTATGTTAGTTATAACAATACAAAAGAAGTCTTTTCAATAGGTATACAAGGAATATTTTTTCATATTAAGTTATGCTCTCATGTTAACTAACGTATTCAGTAACAAACAGAATGACAATGATAATTAATGTTATTCTTACCTGTAATCGAAACCAATCTAATCTCATTCCTCTGAAATCAAATACTTCCCCATCTTCAACTACAGTAACAGAAAAAAGATTACAAAGCAAATTAATAACCTATAATCACATTTTAAAATTTAAGGGTTAGGACAATTCCACTTCCGGACATATATACAAAAGAATAAACCCATGTTCTTGTGCACACCAACGTTTATAGCAGCATTATTCACAACAGCCAAAAGGTAGAAGTAACCAAAAAGTTCATCTACAGTGGACAAACAAAGTGATATATACACACAATGGCATATTATTCAGCCTTAAAAGGGGAGCAAATATTGTAACATGGATGTCATGTCATGGATGACACGCTGGAATGCTAAGTGAAATAAGGCAGTGATAGAAAGACAAATACTATACAGTTCACTTATGTGAAGTATCTAGAATAGTTTAACTCATAGAAACAAAGTAGAATAGTGGCTCCAGGGGCTGGGTGGAAAGGAAAACGCCTGGGGGTGGGGTGGGGGTGGGGGTGCGTGTTACTTTATAGCTACAGTTTCAATTTCACAGGATGAAAAATTCCGAATATTTATTGCACAACTATGTCAATATACTTAACTCTACTGAACTGTACACTTAAAAATGGTAATGTGGCAAATTCTATTTTACCACAATTTTAAAACGATAGCTAAGAGTGAAATAATTCTCATCTCCTATAAAGGTGATGATGAGGCACCTCTGCTAAGAGAAGTGTAAAGTACAGACTTCTCTCTAAACACTGTGATTCTCATTTTGCTTACATATCAACTCAAAGTACCTAGAGTAGAGCATGAGGAATCCTGTGAACAGAAACTTTGGAAAGCATGCTGAAGTTCCACAAAGTAACTTTGTTTAACCAAATATCATCAGGCAAGTTTACAGCAGATTCATTACATAAGTATGTTTAACTTATCAATTTATAAGTTCATCAAGTTATCAGTTTATCAATATTAAGATTAATAAAACTAAAATAAATTTATTACTCAGAAATTTTCAAGGTTTCTGATACTTTTTATTTGAAGATTATAAAACTAAAATATCAGTCTACTGGAATGGAGGAGTATCCAACTAATAGGCAATCTATTATATGACACCAACTTTTGTGATTGATAGATCTGAACTTAAGTTCATATTCTAGAACTTAGTATCTGTTAAAAAGTGTGGGCAAACTATGTTGAATAACTAAAAGGTTAACCCTTAAGCCTCAAGTTTCCAAATGTGTTAAATAAAAATAATTAACAGCTTTTTAACATTGATGAAGACTGAATAAGATAATATATATAAAGTGCTTGCTCAAATTAATGATTTCATTAATGGTATCCATTACTGTCATAGGTAATGCCTGGACCATAATATAAAGTTTGTTATGATACAGGATGCTCATTTTTCTTTTTTGTAATTACAAAATACCTTTTTGCCTCTAAAATACCATTGTGCCTCCAGCTGAATATGAAGAAATGTCAAGCTAAACTTCTTATAATTTTTGTAAATATCACCACACATCCATCTTTAAAATCTTTGCTTCAGAGCAAACAAAAGAGAACAGATTAAATATGCTCCAAAGTAAGATAACACTGTAAAAACTAACTGTTAAGTCCTCTCCTCAATAACAGAATTTGAAAACCTAACGGCAAGAAAATACATTTCAATTTAAAAAACTTATTACCTTGTTTTACACTTAGAGAAGTCATAGTGTTAACAAAAGAGGACATGATGATCGATTCATCTTCAGGGCAAACAGAAAGATTCTGGGGGAAAAAAAGTGATAAAAATAATGATAAAAATATTTAGTTGGGAAAAAATTCACAGGTCCATCAACTAGTAGGTGAATAAACTGATATATCCATAGCTGGAATATTTTTAAGCAATAAATAAAAATGGAATGTTTATACACACAGTAACATGGATGAACTCAAAAACATGCTAACTGAAAGAAATGAAAAACAAAAAGTTATATGATGATGGGTTTCATTCACATGAAGAAAAATTTTTTTCAAGGCAAAAGTGACAAAAAAGCAGATAAGGGGTTGTTGAGGATCTAGAGGGGGAATCAACTACAAAGGTGCACAAGAAAACTTTTAAATGTTGGAAATGCTCTTTATCTTGACTGGTGGTGGTTACATGAATGTATACAGCTGTCCAAATTAAACAGTACCCTAAAAACAACTGACTTTTATCATGTATAAATTTTACCTCGACAAAATTAGCACCAAAAACTCCCTGTGAAAATGGCTTAAAAAAGTGAACATTTAATAAACTGTATCTGAAGTAGATGCTAAATGATAAACCTTTTAAAAAAGCATATGCTTATTAGCTCACAAAAACCATAATTTTCAAAACACTAAGACCTGTACAGCCATGTAAATATACACAGAATTCTATACTGTACAATTAAAAAGTTAGAATGATAACTTTAATGTTACATACATTTTACCACAATTTTAAAATTTAATTTTAAAAGTTACCATTTTAACCAATATTACAATGAACGACTGTAACAAGTTATCTTAGTTCTAAATTTAAATCCTAGAAATGGTTAAAAAACTATGCATGTAAATACTTTACTTGCGGGTGGTAAGAAGCTCAGACATTTAACACATTTAAATAGTGTTATTTGTACTCATGAACTGTGTGATACTGATCAAGTTACATAAGGTCTTTTTTCTTCACTATACCTACCCTCAGAGCTGTTAATATACTATTGATAAATGTCAATTATTAATATTAGTATCAGTATTGCTGCTGCTACTATTACTGTATCAGAAAAATAAGAAATTAATTTTCTCATTATTGCTAAAATAAGACACAAAAAGACATGGAGTGGCTTAAAAATTTTAATACTTTAACATAATCTGTAAAATGTATTAATAAATATCCAGTTAGTCATAGCAAATTTCAAAATGCCACAAAGCAAGGAGTCTGATTTACTTTTTAGACTGTGATAGCACAGTAGCCTTTGGTTTATCAGGTATGTAATAACTATTATAAAAAAAAAACTGTATTGCTGTCCACCTGAAACTACCACATGTTAACTGGCTATACTACGATATCAAATAAAAAGTTTTAAAAAAATAACTACAACAAAGCAGTAACACTTTGCCTTGGATAAAAGCAGCTTTTTTATTCCCTCTTTTAACAGACTTTCTAGAAAGGAAGCGTATGAGCTCCATCTAGTGGATAAAAGAAGAAATAAACTAGGGTAGTAAACTGTAAGCTGTTTATAACTCAGGGTAAACAATTACATGAACAGCTTTTTTCTTATTTGCATTTTTAGGTAGGTTTGAAAGAAAATGAGGATTTCAAAGTATGGTTATTTCTGTGGAAAACCAATAGTTTTAGATTCACTTCAGTTCAGTCGCTCAGTAGTGTCTGACTCTTCGTGACCCCATGGACTACAGCATGCCAAGTCTCCCTGTCCATCACCAACTCCAGTTTACTCAAACTCATGTCCACTGAGTCAGTGATGCCATCCAACCATCTCATCCTCTGCCATCCCCTTCTCCTCCTACCTTCAATCTTTCCCAGCATCAGGGTCTTTTCCAAGGAGTCAGTTCTTCACATCAGGTGGCCAAAGTATTGGAGTTTCAGCTTCAGCATCAGTCCTTCCAATGAATATTCAGGACTGATGTGCTTTAAGATGGACTGGTTGGATTTCCTTGCTGTCCAAGGGCCTCTCAAGACACTCTTGTTCTTTTGCTTTCTCTGCCTCTTCATGTGACCCCCCAGTAATTTCTCATACACACTAAGCCAGGGTGATTTTCCTAAATATTATATCTGATTTATGACTAACCTCCTCTTTTGCAAGATCTTCTATAATTTGGTTACTGTACACCTCCACCCACCAAGATAAAGAATTATTCCCCGCACGTGTTCACTTTAAGCTTTATACACGCTTAAGCATAATGCCCATCACACTGGAATACAACTAAATGTTTTCTTTGCTCTAGATAATGATCCCCTTGACAAAATATGACCATGACTTATTTACATTTGTAACTTCACCATGAGACAAAAGATTACTTTTGTAAATGTTTACTGAGCAAACAAATCAATTATTGGAATGGAGGGAAATAAGAAACAAACGGGAGAATGGTATCAGAGTTTTTTACCTGCACAAGCTCATTGAGGACAACAGCATCAAAGCCAGAAAGGTACTGCACGTAATATCTCTGCATTACAGGTCCATATTTCCTTACATGTGCTCTAAGCTCTTCCATATAAAATATTAATTCAGCAATGTGCCTTTTTTTATTCAAGAAAAAACATTTCAAAAATTAAATTCACTTACTATCAAGGAAAATATGAAATGCCTTTGATATTGCTACATCAAGTTTTTTCTTAGAAAAAGCATTGTTAAATATTTAATGTCAACTACTTTCTTTTTTATATTATCTCATATACAGAAAGAAACCATGGAAAGCAAAAAAAGCAAAGAATAAAAAATTGATAAAGGAAAACAAAATAAAAATAAAATTATGACATCTCATAAATACATCACTAAAAGTCATAAATAAAAGAAGGTTAGATCTGTTTCACCCTAGATAATATACATGTTTCAATGCTGTTCTCTTGAAACATCCCACCCTCGCCTTCTCCCAGAGTCCACAAGTCTGTTCTATACATCTGAGTCTCTTTTTCTGTTTTGCATATAGGGTTATAAGGTGAAACAGATCACCAGCCCAGGTTGGGTACATGAGACAAGTGCTAGGGCCTGGTGCACTGGGAAGACCCAGAGGGATCGGGTGGAGAGGGAGGTGGGAGGGGGGACTGGGATGGGGAATACATGTAAATCCATGGCTAATTCATTTCAATGTATAACAAAAACTACTGTAATGATGTAAAGTAATTAGCCTCCAACTAATAAAAATAAATGGGAAAAAATAAATAAATAAATAAATATCTCTATTCACCCATTAAAAAAAAAAAGAAGAAGAAGGTTAGAATATTAGGAAAAAATAAGATTTTTCTGTATGCTATCATTTCTCTGATTCATTTATCTAACTTCTGTTGAGGGACTGTGGACTAAAATAAGAGAAATATATTACAAATGACACAGCTGTAACTCCATTAGGATTATTATTCAAATTTTTGTGTAATAAATAATTCTGAAACATGAATCCTATAAGAAATACTATAGCACAAAAACATACCTCTGCAACAACCTAGAGTACTAGCGAGAAAACATTTAAGCCTTAATTCAAAGTTAAAGTTGACTTTGCATTCTAATTCATATCACCTAAGAATATATTTTAAATATTCCATGCATCATGACAAATATGAAAAGTCTTAAAGAGTTTTTCAAAATAATTTTACTTTAGTCCCCAAATTTCATAGCCCATAAATCAAATATACAAAAAATATATTTTTTTTAATTTGCTAACTTACTTATCTATAAAGTCATCTGCACTCTTCTTTGGCATGTTATCTGCATGACGAAGTAGCCAGATAATTTCATCACGGGCAAAGGATAATGCCATAAAAACAAAAAGTGCCTGATAGATATTAAAAAATAACACTGTTTACTCTCATGCAAAAATTAAAAACAAACCTATCCAAAATCTTTCTCAAAGTGAAAAGTCCCAGGCAAAACTGGTACTATCAACTCTTAAAGACAGAAGTAAGAGAACAGGGATCTTCAAAGCACATATCAAAAAAGCATGCACATAAGTAAGATGTGAGGGAAAATGCAGGAAGGTCTGATTTACAAGAACCAAGTTAGCAAATCCACTCTCAGATAAATATAAAATCTCTTACATAGTTCCTGACTCAAATTTTAATAAAATTTCAGAGAGAAGAAAAAAAAATTTTTAATTTTAATGTGGCACGTTTGAAACAAGAATTAAATCAATTACCTTAGGACCTAGCAAGCCAGGCTGATCAGAGAGGACAGTAGCCAATTCTTTCAGTGCAGACCTTAAAAACTTGCGTCTTTCTCTGTGCATTGACCCACTATAGGAAAAGACAACCACCGTCAGAGTTTATGTTTCTACTACACTTATTACTGGCAATTAATTAACATCACTTCAGAGTCAACTTCCAAAGTTTTCTTAGGAAACAGAAACACTTAAAAATATCTTCTACGTGTTTGTCATTTACCCTTTGTCATTTACGTCTTTACCCTTGCCTTTTGTGCTGTTTGGTAACTTTTTTCACTTCTCTCTACCTATCAAGATGCTACTCAAACTTTAAGACCAACTCTTCAAAAAGTATTTCCCAATATAGAGATGTCTAATCCTGAAGAATTTCTGCCAGTTAAGTACCATATAGCCTAGTACTCTATAAAATGGACTGTGAAATCCTTAAGAGTAAGCACTTTTTAATTGTATACATTTTTATCACTCCCATGTAGAATCAATAAATATAACTTAATAAATATCTGATTATCTATATCCTCATTTATTAAGTATATTGCTATTAAATATATCATTATTTGATCACTAGATCATGTCTGACTCCTTTTGCAACCCTACGGACTTAAAACTGACTAAATCAAAGCTATATTCATTAAGGTACTGGGATGAAATCTATTTGGTGCTACTGTTCAAAAACAGAAAGAGGAGGAAAGGATAATCATAAATATTCATGTACTTGGTATCTTAAAAATAAAATAAAAATTAGAAAAAATTTATTCTCACAAATTAATAAAAAATCAAAGAATATTCTAAATACTCCAACTCCTCATACTGTTCAAAATATAAATCATTCCAAAAAAGTTTTAAACTTTAGATAGTTGCAAAAAATTGCCACTCCACAAACAGATGGGGAAAAAAATGGAAACAGTGACACACTTTATTTTCTTGGGCTCCAAAATCACTGCAGTTGGTGAATGAAGCCATGAAATTAAAAGACGCTTGTTCCGCCAAAGAAAAGCTAAGACCAACCTAGACAGTATATTATAAAAGCACAAACATCACTTCGCCAACAAATGTCTGTATAGCCAAACCTATGGTTTTTTCAGTAGTCACGTGTGGATATGAGAGCTGGACCATAAAGAAGGCAAAGCGCCAAAGAATCGATGCTTTCAAACTGTGGTGTTGGAGAGGACTCTTGAGAACCCCTTGGACTACACGGAGATCCAACCAGTCCATCCTAAAGGAAATCAACTCTGAATATTCATTGGAAGGACTGATGCTGAAGCTCCTAGAGTACTCTGGCCACTTGATCTAAGAACCGACTCACTGGAAAAGACCCTGATGTTGGCAAAAATTGAGGGCAGGAGCAGAAGGGGGTGACATAGGATGAGATGGTTGGAAGGCATCATCGACTCAATGGACATGGGTCTGAGCAAACTCCAGGAGCTAGTGAAGCACAGGGAAGCTTGCCTGTGCTGCAGTCCACAGGGTCACAAAGAGTTGGACACGACTGAGAGACTGAACACCACATCTATTATATGCCAAAATCCTAAAGAGAAGATACATGCAACACGAGAAGTGTAACTCTGACACCACAGATTAATTTTGAATACACACTAAAATCCAACCTTTACCTATGTGACCTTAGGTTCTACCTCTCTTAAGCTCCAGACTCTCATCAAGGAACAGGGGTGATGACACCTGACTCAAGATCTATCTTCCATGATATCTAACATACAGTACTTTTACAATTTTAGTGTAATTCTAACTGCCGGGAGCTAGCACACGAGATCCCACCCATGACAAGGTCATGAGGAGAAGACCTGACAAGCAAGGTAGATCAGGACTTCAGGGATTTCGAAAAGCTGCCCCGGTGCTCACCTTAAAGATGATCTCTGTCTTTCTGATGCTTGCTATATTAGACTACTCCCTAATTTCTGTGACACAGGTAGACGGCCTTCCCCATCTCTCTCCAAACAGAATCAACTTAGAACTTTAATCAACATGTCCCCCAGACGGCGGTATCCTGTAAAATTATCCAGGATGAAAGGAGTGTTTCAATTTAGACCCCTTTGCTGGCATTTCAGCCTGCTTGGCAAATGCATACTAATGCATATGACTGCTCACAACACCTTAATCATAAACAGCATAAAGAACCTGATCATACAAAAGGCCCTAATAGGCACAGAGCCCTTCAGGGGGTGAGGAAGCCCTATTAGAGAACACAAAAATATTATTCTAAAAGTGGTTATAGTTAAAGATTTAGAAAAATAAGAGTTTAGAATTGTTAATTTTAACCAGGAATGCTAAACAGGGGCTGCCTCACCGGAGCTGCAGAGTCTTCGTGTGGTAAACCTTTCAGATAAATTTAACTGATAACTTCTGCAAAAGGACTGACCTTTGTGTTCAACAAAGAATAGATTACAGAAAACAGCTTTGCATTCACCTAGGTCAAAAAAAGTAAATAGGCCCCAAGGCCAGAAGGTAATGTAACAAGACTCTCACAAACAAGTATGCAGAAAACACCCTGGTTTAGTAAGGAGGAGCTGATGTAATACTAAACTATCTTCCCCTTAAAAATGTACTAACTTAGAAAATAAAAGTTACGGTAAAAAAAAAAAAAGATTTGCCAGACTCTGCTGCACACCCCCAGTCTGGTCTCTCTCTCTGTCTCTGTGTCTCTCTCTCGCCGATGCCATTCATCCTGAGGGTACCCCTGGGATGCCTGCGGGTATCCCTGCGGAGACTGGACCCCGGCATCTAACAACAGGCTCTCTGCTTACTGACAATAATAAACTCACCTGGTGTAGTGTCTAAAAACAAAGTGGGTAAATGTTTTGATTATTTTATTATACAGGGTTGCTACAATGAGTATTACCATCAAGAGAAGATATAAACACTATGTCTGGCATATGTTAATGAATGGTGTAAGAACTACTAATGCTCACTACTTATAACTCTTTTATATAATGCAGGGAAAAAAGACTTTTATAAAAGATAGCTGTGACACCATATATCTGCCAAGGGTTTAACATATGAATAAGCAGGCCTGGAATGGAATTCTAACACACTCCAAAGCATGTTATTTGTACTAGAGACTGGTTTTATAATAATACAAGCACTTTATTTAGAGTGAAAAATAAAATGCATAAGGAAATAATATACTATAGTTAGCAATAAATAAAGATGATTTAAATTCCTAATATCTATGTTATAGCCTAAGCCTAAATTCTAAAACTTCTTGTAGTTTTATATTTTCACCTATGACTGTGGTGTTATCTTTTCTCTGTCTTGTAGATATACTGATGGATCAGATAGTGTTATCTCTACTGTACCTAGACTTACTAAAGATATTCTATACAAGTACACTATATAACAATTAAATGAATTACCAAATTATTTCATGAGAAAATTGAAAAGTTGTTCAAACATTTTAAATACACTAATATCTAATTTAAGTTATCTATATATTTTCTAATAAAATATATTTACTAATATTTGGGAAAGGTACAGGATTAACATAGTTTGAAAAGTAAATACCATTGGGGGAATGCACATGAAGTAGTACAAAAACCATCATAACTTGCCAAGTATTGGTACCAGAGCACAGGAGCAGTAAGAGAAATGAATGACACCAAAATTAATTCCTCTGTATGATATTCCTTAAGAGCATTTAACACTTAAAAAATATTAAAAATCTGTCCATACTAATAAACAAGATGACTAGATACAGAGTTATAAACATGTTCCTCATTGATTGGAAGTCCCCTACTTCTACTGCCACATCTTACACACCATTAATCTGCACTCACTTCAACAAAACAATGCTTTAAGAAAGGAATTCTTGATTAAAAGTTTCACAGATAAGTTAGAACCACTTACGCATGTGACACAGCTGCCTCTTTGCATTCTCTTATGTCATTAATACGCTTATTATAGCTATGAGCCAAAAAAAAAAGAAGTATGTTAATCTTAATTTGGTCAATAACAGTAAAAACAAGTTAGTCAAATACTAGTCAATTAAAAATATCTTATTATCAACTGGCTTATTATCAACTGAGAGTCAGAAAAACTGGCTCTCAAACTGGAAATACATGGAAGAAGTCTACCCACATCATTTTGAGCACCTTAAGTACCCCATCAGCTCTTCCTAAAACAATAAACCTCGTATTACATTAAAATTCAGTAATAAAATTAAATTTACAAAGCAGACTTTTATTTTCTTAAATCTCCAATAGGGACACTAAATTATACTTCTAAAATAATTAACAGTGATTTCCAAAAACTGCAAGTCCTGACAAAGCTATTACTTTTGGCTTTTTATGTTACCTCATAAGCATAAAAAAATTTCTCAAGGCACATATACTAGGAACAGAAATTCTGTGGTGGAGAAAAAGAGCAGGAAAGCATTCGATTACTTTAGCTTATTTTAAGGGATAGACCTATGGGTGATTTTTACTCACCACTGTTTTAAGAAAGCACATTTTTTTCAAATTAAAAAACATTTAAAATAGAAGACACTGAATGCCAGGATCAGAGAGCCTAAAAGTGCCATCTATAAAATAAACTCTAATAAGGATATGCTAATTTCCTGGCTTCTAAATACATAAAAATTCAAAATTCCTAAAATGTTAAAGAAAAATTATCTTCTTAACCACTTATACCAAGAACTTCAATTTCTAAATTAAGTATGCTAAGATTTGTGTATTCTTCAAGCAAATGTCATAATTCTGTAACCACTGACCTGTATAAATGATGAGTTTTCATATTTATGGTCTGACTTGTTAATTACTATAATTCACTTTTTAAGTTGGATCAATCACTCATGATTTAGTAAAAAATTAAAACTTAAATATAGAAATTCTTAAATGGTAAATTTAACACAGAAAAAGCATAACAAAGGAATTTCAAGAGGTCCAGTGGTTAGTACTCGGTACTTTCACTGTGGTGGATCTTGGTTCAATCCCTAGTCTAGGAACTAAGATCCCACAAGTCATGTGGAGTGGCCAGAAAAAAAAAAATGGCATAATGAAAAAACAATTGGTTTCATGAAGCCATTAAATTTATCTGTACAATATTTACCTGACACTCACTCAATATACAGAAACTCTCTGGTTCTAAGTGTTTACATATATTTAAACATAATTCCCCAGAGAGGATGTCAATATGCTAAGGCATAAGTTTCAGGATTTTTGATCTGAATCACTTTGAAAATGACAAAGCTCACAACAACATAAGGTATTTCCAGGTACTCCACCATCTAAAATAAAAAGTGAACTAAGAGTTGAAAAATACAGAGGGTGCTGTTTCTCACACTATGGCTGAGAGACTACCTGCATGAGAAGGCCAGAATCACATATGGTGACAGAAATGAAAAGAGAGACCACCTGTGAAGGCTAGGGGAATGGACCAGGGATAGCAGTACTGACCAGAAAGGCACAAGAGAATTTTCTGGGGATAATGGAAACACTCTGTATCTTGATCTAAGTGGTCACTAGGGGTATTCGTACACAAAATTGTTGAGTTGTTCACTTAACATTTATGCATTTTTCTGTCTGTAAATTTACCTCAATAAACTACTTGGGGGAGGCGGTGGGAGAAAAGGGCAGATTTCTTTACCTCTCCAAGATATAGATACAGGGGATTTAGGAGGTTAGGGGTGATGCCCAGGAACCTGGATTTTAATTCACATCCCAGGGTACTTCATATGCATACTACAATCTGAGATGGTATACTGGCTTAAACTGTCAGTACTAGACATATCTTTACATTTTAATAACTAATAGATTTTTAAAATCTGAATTTCATTTAGGACATTACTGAATCGGATATGAAATAAATATAGCTGAAGTTCACATCCATGAAACTGACAAATCCAACCCAGTTATTCAATATTTTTAGCTCCAATAGACCCCAAGAAATTTTAGATACTCCTAATTTCAAAAGATTTATAAAGGCTACCAAGTGTGAGTTGAACTTGTTTTTATATACTGGCTACAGAGCCAAAAGTGGGAAAAAAAGCAAGCATAAAAATTCCAAGGGCCAAATTTAAGAATTATTTGTGTTACAAGGAATGAGTATAAATGAGTCACTTGGAATACTTCCTCAATATAAGGAAACATGATTTCCTTTTTGCAGTGGTCTGACTTCTGCAATGGCTACAAATAATTAATGAAGTAGTTTTTGACTGATTCATATACTTTTTTAAATGCACTGGATTCTAAAATACATTTCTAAAAACTTCGTAACTCCTAAAATGTACATTGTGCTTTCACAGTAATATTTATGTCTAAAACCATCATCTTTCTCCCAGAATACAAATTTTGAAACAGCATGACCATTAGATATTTTAGTCTGTGAAGTAACCTGTAAAAAATATCAGGATCACTGTTAAAAACAACTTGGTGTGACTGATAAGCAGGTACAGATTGTATCTTCTTGCATAATGTGAGCCTTCTCTATCTCAGAACTTCAATAGATATTCCACTTACTACTTTTCTCCAAAAAAGACAAAATAATTGAAAACGACGTACCCTCGAATGTTTACAAATAAGTCTTCTGCAGCTTTATGAATGTGGAAAACTTCATCTCGAAAGAGAGAGAGGCAAGAGCTACTTTGAAGAGCTAGTTTCCAAAGGTTCAGTGCTGTTGCATCAGTATTTAGGATCCCATGGCACAAAATAAAGCCAACTTGAAACAAAAGAAAAAGAAATAAAAATTTTCCTAAGTTAGGTTATTTGAGTTACAGGGTAGCTTTTTAAAAATAAAGAAACATAAACACAATCACTTAAACTGAGGCTTTTAAGTGACAAGTAATACATATACATACAAGATGGCAACAATATTTCTCTTTTTCAAAATAATTTTCTGTACTTTGCAAAACCAGTGATTTGAACTTACACTGATGAAAAGGAAAAAAAGGTCACTTCTGGGTTGTGAAGGAACTGACTTTAACAAACGAGTAAAAGATATTTTAAACCAGAGATCAGAAGCTACCAATTTACATATATACAATTATCTTACAGTTGTTACAGTAACTGAAAAAGAAAGCTACTTTTAAGTCATTACAGGAAATGAAATAGCATGTCACAGTTTCATAGCAAATTATAGTTTGTACTAATTTAATCCTTTCACATATATTATCTCATAAGATTATCGTGTAGAGTGGAAAGACCAGTGGTATCCTTCTTTTACAACCGAAGAAATAAGGGTCAATGACTTGCCTAAAGTCACAGTAATAAAGTATTAGAACCAGACTTTTCCTCAAGTAGTTACCCTTAAAGGCCAATATTCTTTCAATATGTTACACAGTTCTCTATTCTATAAATTCAGGTATCTTACCTTTTGTCATCTAATTTAGAAATTCTTCAAAAATGTGTAATCCTGTATGTTTACTGAGGTCTCCCCTGACCCTCTATTCTAGGCCATAAAACCTCATCTTTCATTCCTAGAAAGTGAAAGTTGCTCAGTCCTGTCCAACTCTTTGCGACCCCATGGACTGTCCATGGAATTTTCCAGGCCAGAATACTGGAGTGGGTAGACTTTCCTTTCTCCAGGGGATCTTCCCAACCCAGGGAGCAAACCCAGGTCTCCCGCATTGCAGGCAGATTCTTTACCAGCTGAGCCACAAGAGAAGCCCAAGAACACTGGAGTGAATAGCCTATCCCTTCTCCAGGGGACCTTCCTGACCCAGGAATTGAACTGGGGTCTCCTGCATTGCAGGCAGATTCTTTACCAACTGAGCTATGAGGGAAGCCATAAAACCTCATCTTTCATTCCTAGAACATGTACTCAATGCTTATTATAAACTATGTATCATGCTGGGCCAGTTAAAAACCAATTCTATTTTCTGTAAGATTTCCCTCTGATTTTCAACAGTCATTTCAATCTTTAAACTCCTCAATCACTAACATTTAACTTGCTTTGTATCTTTTATTCTTAATTAAACATTCCTTTTAAAGGGCCACTACAAAGGAAAACTAACTCTTTAGGGTAGGCAAATATTGTAGAATCATACATACAGATGTACATTTATTAATAACTTCCTTAAAAATACCTGAAATATATTAAAATGTTTTTTATACATTTAGGGTCCCTAAATGCAAGTCTAATTATTTGATCTGGTACATAACCAAAGAAGATCTGGTACATAACCAAAGAAACAAAACACCTTTATGGAAATTTTTACAATCCTTAAAAGAAGTCTTGTGAAACTTTTTGCCTCATGCACTGATATTTGATACTCTAATCCCTTTACTAAAATGAGATTTCACTTAGTGTCTTGTACCTCAATGTACACTTAGACTCATAACACTGCTGTTGATAATAAAAGTTTCTCTGAGAATATTATCAGTATCATTATGGGTCACTGTAAACTTTACTTATGTAAGACATGGGTTATATTATAAAGTACATTCATTTACTATCAGGTCAATAAAAGGTAAATTAATTTAAAATAGCCCAAGATTAGGAAGACAGTCTATTAACTAAACCACACATTAACCTCCTTTTCCCACTAAGTTCTCAGCAAAAAGACAGGAAAAAAAAATTTTTTTTCAGTCATGAAAATGTAGGAAAATAAGATCGAAAATCAATACTAAACAAGAAAGCTGGAGAAAATCTTTGTACTATCAATTTAAAAAGAGATCTTTCATAAGGAGTCATCTGGGTATAGTCAATTCAGAGTACCGGGATAAGTTACTGTATAAATTACTATGTTAGTCACTCAGTCTTGTCTGACTCTTTACGATCCCATGGACTCCAGCCCGCCAGACTCCTCTGTCCATGGAATTCTACTGGAGTGAGTAGCCATTCCCTTCTTCAGGGCAGCTTCCTGACCCAGGAATTGAACCCGGGTTTCCTGCATTGCAGACAGATTCTTTACTGTCTGAGCCACCAGGTAAGCCCCAAGTTACTGTGAAATCACATTCAAAAGAGCTGGATCCTCAACATTCCAGACCCTCAACCACCCCCGTGCTATGTGCTAAGTAAGTCGCTTCAGTCGTTTTCAGCTCTGCGACTCTGAGGACTGTAGCCCGTCAGACTCCTCTATCCAAGGGATTCTCCAGTCAAGAATACTGGAGTGGGTTGCCATGCTCTTCTTCGGGGGAGTTTTCCCAGTCCAGGGATTAAACCCCAGTCTCTTATGTCTCTGGCATTAGCAGACGGGTTCTTTACCACTAGCACCACCTGGGAAGCCCCAACAACCCTTGGCCCCAGGCTAGAATCTAGACCAGTGATTCTTAAACTTCAGCTTCCTATCAGAATCACTGGGAAGGCTCATTAAATCACAGGTTGCTGGGATCCATACAGAGTTTTTCATCAGAAGTCCTAGGGTGAAAATCAATATTATGCATATCTAATAAGTTCCAAGATGATACTGCTACTCTTTCAACTAATCTACAGTAAAGCTCTAAAGAAAATAGACTATCTTTTATAGAAAGTTCTAGTGCAGAAATTGGTGTCAAAAAGAGAAAAATTAAAAAAAAAAAAAAAAAGCGGGGGGAGAGAAGTGCAAAGTTGGACGTAACTCTATTAACTCTACTCAAGGCTCAAATAAATGAAAGCAGCAAAACTGAGTTAACTTTCCTGACTTTTGGCAATTGTGGCTATCCCAAATTAGTTTGCCTTTTCCATGCCCAAGCATCCTCCATTTAGGTGTTCTGCCTTCTGACTTAACCTCATGGCTCATTACACAAAGCCTTGCATTCATTACTCCCATTTAAGGTAAGGACCGGGCTTCCCAGGTGGCTCAGATGGTTAAGAATCTGCGCAATGCAGGAGACCTTGATTCAATACCGGGTCGGGAAGATCCCTTGAAGAGGAAATGGCTACCCACTCCAGTATTCTTGCCTGGAGAATTCCATAGACAGAAGAGCCTGATGGGCTACAGTCCATGGGGTTGCAAAGAGTCAGATAAGACTAAGCAACTGACATTTTGAACACTTTCAAGGTAGAGACTGGATGGAAATAGTTCTATTTAACATTAGATGTCACTCAGGCCACCTAACTACTAATCACACTGGTTCTTCATCCATAGATCCATAAACATAAAAAAATCAAGGATCACCATGCTTTTGAGCAAAATCAATACTCCAAAAGCTGTCTTTTTAAATCAACAAAAGCATAAAAACCTAACAATCATTATAGAACAAAATATAAGGATCACAAACATGATCAACGTAAAAATTATAATAAAAATGGCTAAGGACAGACAATATGTGTTAAATTCTTTCTCCTTCATACTAATAACTGCATTACTCAAACCGCCAGTGCATAATGAGATCAAGTAGAGAACTGAGAGTATTTAGAAACTTTCATTTAGAAAACTTTTCACTGATAGCAACTTAGGGGTAGAAACCTAGTAACAATCAAATTGTTAGATTAAATATTTAATTGTTAGAGTAATACTTAAATATTGAATCTAATAATCAAAATGTAGGCTTTTATTTCATCTTTGCTTATTACTTTATTTTTGATAATTCCACTAATTCAGTTTCAATGTATTTTATAAAAGCACCAATCCAAAAATCACTAAAAAATAAAAATTGGTCATTCACCAGTTTTAGAAACAGTATGATAAAAAGTCATCAAATAATACCTAAATGTTAATAAATTAAGAAACAAGAGCTATAAGAACTAAAAAGCACAAACTGCTCAAAATTTTTCCCCTCTGCCAGTGGACCTGGGGGTAGTAGAAAAAATTATAGCAATTTTCATTTACACTGTATCTGTGTGACTATTTCTCTCATAGTTTGTGAACTTGTAGGAGTGCAAACAAGTAATTTTATTTCCCATGCAAACATATAAGATGTCTATTGTATGTACTAAAATAATTTAAAAACAAAAACAACTGAATAAATGCAGCATCAAGAAAATCATTAAAAATAAAATAAAAATTTACTTTTGATGGCCTTGTTGAGGGGCAATATAATGTAGACCATGAGCCTTGATGGTCCTTTGTCTTTGTCACTTGCTGTGTGGACTAAACTTTAATTCCTCATCTATAAACTAGACCAACCTACTCTAACCAGATCAATATAAGGACTGGATGATGCACATAGAAGGATTAGCACAGTGCTTGCTATTAAAGCAATCCATGTTACTGTTATTTCTCTCTGAAACTTAAAACTGAGGAGTAATCATAAAACTAACCAATTTTACTTACAGATAATCCATTTTTCCATGGCATCCAAAGAGAGATATTCACAAGGCATCTTAAAAAAAGAAAATATAAACTTGTGATTTAAGGAAAAAATTCTGCACTGAGTCACTCCTCTTTCTCTTCCTTCTAAGAAGTCTGACTACTCAATTCTTGGTTCAAATACCACCACAACATAGTTGAAACACTGATGCAAGTTTTATAACCTATACTTATACCTGTGGTCCATAAAAGACGGTGAAAGCTGTGCCTCTTTCCCATTCCTCTTTCACATTCACACACCCTGAAACTTCTCTTTAAAAAACATGGTTGCTAAATTGTTTTCAATTTAGTAAATAACTACTTCCAAATTTCCCAAGTTTATTGCAGAGCTTGCAGTATTTTCAAAAGATAAAATTTTATTAAAAAAAAAAAAAATTATGTACCTGGATGCTATTTCACCCAAGTCAGTAATTATGTGTGTTTATTCTCCATATGCATAACATCTACGTTTATATATACAGAAAAAAAGACTGAAAAGAAACTTAATAGAATACAATAGTGATTTTCTCTAGTAAGTCTGGAAGACTTGGGGTGATTTTTTTCTTCTCCTAATTTTCTGAATCTTCCAAATTTTCTACCATAAGAAAGCAAAGCAAATTTTTAAGCCTTAAAAGAACTCATACTACTAGTTGTACTCAGCATCAGCATTTAGAAATTTAAAAAAAGGGAAAGGGAAAAAAAAAGTAAAAGTTAAAAATGTGAAGAGTACAACATAAATAATGAGCATTTTACAATAAACTTCACTGACAGGCTAATACTAATTAGAAGAAAAAGTGCAACAGCACTGCTTAATTGATTTTTTTAAAATCAATTTTACTCTTTTCATTCAAAAAAGAAAGTACAGAACCATACAGTGTCGGATTGTGCGGGATTAAGCATTGTGCTCGGGGCACTGATGAGGCTCAACAACTGGGCATTTCTCCACTGGTCAGCTGAAAGGTTCCTTCGAGGATACACCATCTGAAGAGAAATTAGTGCATCTGAAAGAGACTAATTAAAACAGAAAAAAAGAAAGTTGAAGAATGAGGGTTTTTTTACTTTCCATTTAATTTCCAGCTATAAGTGCTGTGTGTTTCTAACCGTACCATCATAAAACAAAAGCCTAATTACAAGTATGTTCCATATGACACTTGAGGTGGGTCCCAGTTATACTTTAGATTTTTTTTGTTTTTAATTTCATGAAAGTTACATAGATTCTGCATTCCTCAGCTAAAGCTTAGCTCAGGAAATCATGTTACTTTCTTAAAGGTGAAAATGTATGGCAATCATGTGATCTTTATTTTAAAAAGGGTACAGAGTCTAGCATCATCCTTCTGTGTATCAGTGCTCAGTGAAAGAAAAAGTAGTACTTAAGGTTATATGACTAAGTGTTAACAGAGTTTAACATGTTTCATATTTCTTCAAAGAATGCCTTCTAAAAATGATCCACTGTACTTTATCTTAATAAATTATTTCTATTTGCCATTTAGTCTATTAATGATAAAGTTATCATCAAGGTATTTTTCATCTCATTTGCTTCTTGCTTGCTTTTAACTCTTTTGCTATTCACTCCTGCTTCCTAAAAATTCTGTACAGAGTGGGTCTTTAATCTGGCTATGCATAAATTGCCAGGAGAGTTTGTTCAGAAAAAGAAAATCCAGGGCTCTGCCTGAGCCAGAACCTCTGGGAGTAAAACCTAGGAATTGTTTTATCACTGCACCAGGTGATTTTGAATATTTTTTTACATTAATTTGAACAAATCCTAGTAAATACATGATGGTCTTTCTATTGGGCTTCCCTGGTAGCTCAGTTCATAAAGAATCCGCCTGCAATGCAGGAGACCTGGATTCAATTCCTGGGTTGGGAAGATCCTCTGGAGAAGGGATAGGCTACTCACTCCAGTATTCTGGCCTGGAGAATTCCATGGACCAAGGGGTCTGGCAGGCTACAGTCCACGGGGTCACAAGGAGTCAGACACAACTGAGCGAGTTTCTATTAACATCAAAGCCTTGAGATATCATAGAATATCAGAAAAATCAAGATTAGGAAAAAACTGGTCTAATCCAAATAGACAATTCTCCTCAAGTAATTATTAACAGTCTAGTATGTGCTAATGGCTATGGAGAACTTAAATAGAGATATAAGAGGTGAAAGTGTTAGTTGCTCAGTTGTGCCTGACGCTTTGTGATCCTGTGGACTGTAGCCCACCAGGCTCCTCGGTCCATGGAATTCTCTCGGCAAGAATACTGGAGGGGGTATCCACTCCCTTCTCCAAGAGATCTTCCCGATCCAGGGATCAAACCTGGGTCTCCTGCATTGCATGCAAATTCTTTACCATCTGAGCCACCAGGGAAGTCCTAAATAAAGATATAATAGCCTTTAAAATAAATGTTTATCATTTCACTGGGAAAAGAGCCAAATCTGAAGTGGCCAACTAAAAGCAAAGCCGTATCTGATTGGCAAAAAGTTAGAAACAGATCCAGAGAAAAAACAAGAGATGAGTAGCTGAGGAAAAAGCACTAATAAAATCAAAGAGACAGGTGATGATCTGCTTAGCACTGAGAGACCCTGACACTTCCATCTACAATGCTGATTTTTACTTCAAAATTGGTATCATCTACTAGACTCTTTCAATAAACTGTTTCAAGCTAATGGTACAACTAACTCTAAGACATTAAACCTACATAAATTTGTGGGTATAATACAGCTATGCAGAGAAGTTAAACTGGAAACGCATCTTTAGAATTTTCATGGGATTAAGAAAATTGAAGGACAATTCTTGTTGCTAACTGTATGTCAAAAAAATAAAGCACAGATTCATATAAAATACTGTATTACTAACTGCCATCATTCAAAGGGAACAATGGACCAAAATTCTAATCCTAGACCTTGTTCTGCCACAAATGCTGCCAAATGGCTTACTTCATCATATCACTTCCAGTCCTTAATTTCCTTATCTTTATGAGGATACCAATAAACTTCCTTGACATGCTAAGGAACTAGCCCTCCCTAAGAGAAGCCATAATGGCAAGAGTCTAAACCAAAATTATTTCATTAAGAACTATTTTTTAATATATCATAAAGGATAAATGTTTAAAATTATCACAACCTCCTGCAATTTTTTCATTACGAGGTTATATTCTAATAACATAATTAAGATTTATCAAATACTATGTGTGGAAACACCTTTCACAAAATAACTCATTTAATACTCATAATAGCCACATAGAGTAGGATTACTATTACTGCATTTTTACAGATAAGAAAACTGAGATACAGTGAAGTTGGTTAAGTAACCTGCCCGATAATACACAGTAACTGTCAGAGTTGGGATTAGAACAAAGCAGTCTGATATGAATCTAGTAGACATTCTCAAATACTAAACTTCACTAACTCTATATCCTATAGAGAACCTAAAAACTACAATAGATCAATATATTCCAGAGTTTCTATTCATGATTCTGGATATAATTAATGATTTCTCTGGTTCACAGTTAGATAAAACCATACATAACTATAAATCATATCTAATTAAGATTTTTCTTTCTTAGAAGCAGTTTATCACTCTATCCACCCTCAAGCCCTCATATGCCTATTGAAACACCCCTAGAAATCAGCTCTTACCTTGCTATGGGGCACAAATTCTTCCATCATTTTCTTTAAAGGGTTTTCATAATCCACAATCATCTGACCAAGGCGTGGGTATTCTCGGTCACTTAAAACAGACACATAAACATCACTGAATTGTAAGCCATCAAACTGAGAATTTCACACACATTTCTTTAATGCAGGTATACCTTGCTCCGTGGGTCATCTCATGAGCATAGTTGTATAATCCAATGATTGCCTTCCTTTCTTCAATTCGAGACAGCAGTATCATTAGTGTTGTATATGTTATGATCAAATCTAAGTAGTTCTTTGTTAAATCGAAGTTTACAGTCTAAGAAAAAAAAATAAGTTCAACTTTTTATTTCACAAACTTTTAAGCACACACAAAAGCATCTTCATGGCAGCTACTGTAAGCTAATAATTTTCTGTAGTTATTTATTATATCCCCATTTCTGAAATTCTAACTAATTCCTTTCACCAAAAACATGTCTAAAATTTGGGAGTTACAGATAATAGTTTTGTGTTTGCAACACAATTTTACAAATGAAAAAGAGTTTGTGATCACTCTATTCAAACTGCTAACAATTTAAAAGAATAGCCAAAACCACAATAATAATAAGCATGGAAGCAATTCTCACTAAGCAAGAAAAAAGGAGTATTAAATTAATGAATAGGTTCACCATTAAGTCAGCGGAGATGTTTTTCACTGATTTCTTATATCTAGAAACTGTCTTATTAAGAAAGATTTTATCAAGCGTGCCTTTTATAGAGAAAAAATTATTTGCGTAACCTTTTAAAATTGAGCCTATCAAAATAAAATACTAAAATTAATAACTATTTCCCAATATGTGCAAGATTTATACTCAATGACAATCAAATAAGTAAAAACAGAGATACAGTATAACTCCTTACCTTAAAAAATAAAGTCAAATTCAATGCTGAAATTTTATATACTAATCATACAAAATTATTTCTAAAGAAAAGCATTTGATCCCCTTAGTTCTACTACTAGAAACAGAGAGAAGAATTAGAAATTTTTCTTAAAATTATACGTACAATGTCAAAGAAGACTTGGCAAACATCAATAGTATTCAGCAATTCACAAACATGGTCCTGAAAATAAAAGTTTATTTTAATCTTTTACTTATATGACTACTACTAAATTCAGAAAACACATACTTTATTATCCACAAGTGACAGAACAATTTATACAATTAACAAATATCAATTTATCTCTGAAATGTTAAACTGTATGTATTAAAATACATACCTTAAATTCCATAACATCTACAAATGTGAAGTAATATAACGCCAGATTTTTCAGAATCTCTGATTTTTCTTTCTGCAGTTGTGCAAGCTGTTGCTGTGAAAACAAAATTAGAATGCACTGTTTACCATGAACAAAATTATTAGGTTTAATACAAACTATCTTCTTTTATGATTGCTATATGAAAACACAAGCTTTTAGAACAATATTTCTAGATGATTAAGGCTCTTTTAAAAAACCAAAATACTTGAAACAGCAACTTCTAATAGTGACCAGCAACTGACAGTGTGAGGCTATAAAACGAATCAAAGCAGATTAGTACCAAACTGCACTACTATTAAGGAAAACTGGAAAGTGTTACGAAAAAAGTAACTGTCAAATGAACTCTTTAAAAAGAAAATTAAAAGCAACTCATGAGCATGATCACATTACTAAAAGTGGGAGAAAAGAAGGTGAAAGACATTGTAACTTACACTACAAAAAACAATATGCTTTATAAATTTGGAACTTACCAAAAAGAACATCCAGGCAAAGCCACGTTACGCATGCAAAATAAAATGTAGATACAAACGTAAAATACAGTAACGGTTCCCTGACCAGATCCACAAAACACAATAATACATTAAAGAAAAGCAAAAATCACAACAACAAAAAAGAAATGAGAAAGAAGCAAAACTAGAGTTAAGACGCATAAACATATGAAGAGGGAAATGTGAATATAAAAGACAAACATTTCAGTCAACTGTATTATTACATTTACAGAAGTCCTAAGTTTTCTTTTAAAACAACTATTAATATAATTTCTGATAGAACCCAGCCATATCAGAAATGAAGGCAGTAAACCACAAGTCTGCCAAACTTCAACAAAACCATCTAGAAATATCTGATATTCTGAATGTAGCCTACAGAAAAGAAATGCCCACATCATTTAGAAACTTGTTACAAGAGCAGGATTTCAGGCTCACCCCAAATCAGAATCTGCCATTTATATATACAAAATTTATATATATATATATTATACCTAGGTGATCTGAATGCATGTTAAATGTAATTTACCTAGGACATGAGAAAACTAGAAAATATGAGAAAATGGTTCAAAATATCAAACTTGCTATCAAAGGCCATCCAGTTTTAAGACCCTCCTGCAGTTCATACTGACACCTAACACAGGAGAGTTGGGGGAAGAGCCTTGTCTACACATTATGCTAAGTCAGAAAATTCTTAACAGTAAGCATAACATCAGAGGATTAAAAATATACCTATTAAAAAGTATTTACAGTAGCAAGCACAGCATTCTGGTAGACCCAACTACCATATAGTACCCTAAATACTGCAGTCCCTGAGGACATTTTTAAAAAAGTATAAACAATACTTCGTTATACTCTACTTCCCCTTAAAACCAGGCAAACTGAGGTATATACTTACAGTGATGTGTGTAGCTGTTCTAGCTTTATCTGTGTTACTAGTTGACTTTATTTTGAGCAATATATCTGTTTCAAAACAATTCTATATTTGTATGTACACTTTTAATCATTACCACTCACATCAGGCAGATACTCATTTTAAAATGATTGTATTCCCTCAGATGATACTACCTTTACCTTGTTCAACAACATTTAACATTTATAATTGATATCTTAATACTTTCCCCTGCTTTTCAGTACTTTAAATTTTATCTTTGAAATGTAACAGGTGAAAGCAAACTAATAGTAGGATAAAAAGCAAAAACATAACTTGGTTGCTACTGGGTTTATATTTACAGCGCCTTCTTTCAATTTCAGTGTCTAGTTTGAACAAAAACATAACAGATCGCCATCTCATTATGGGCCCGAATGACCTTTTATACGAATTCTCATTTTGCGTATCAAGAAGCCAATGCCCACAGAGCTTAAAAGGGTCTTCCCCAAAGTTATACACCCAGTTAACATGAATGGGCCAAGATTAAAATTTCATATCCATATTCCTAATAAAGTGTTCTTCCTACCATTTCACACGGAGGTGGAGGGGATTTCACCCCCACCCCCATCTTCCTTTTTAACAGTAAAATCTCATCATGGTCTCAATTTCTCATTCCAATTTATTTCCCCCAAATTGTATATAACTAGCCTCTACTGTATATTGTCACTGTGCTTATTTAACTTACATGCAGAGTACATCATGCAAAATGCCATGCTGGATGAATCACAAGCTGGAATCAAGATGATGGGGGAAATACCAACAACCTCAGATATGCAGATGATACTTACTCTAATAGCAGAAAGAGAAGAACTAAAGAGCCTCTTGATGAGGGAGAAAGAGGAGAGTGAAAAAGCTGGCTTAAAGTTCAACATTCAGAAAAGGAAGATCGTGGCATCCGGTCCCATCACTTCATGGCAAATATAAGGGGAAAAAGTAGAAACAATGACAGAATTTCTCTTCTTGGGCTCCAAAATCACTGCAAATGGTGACTGCAGCCATGAAATTAAAAGACGCTTGCTTCTGGGAAGGAAAGCTATGACAAACTTAGGCAGAGTATTAAAAAGCAAAGACATCATGTTGCTGACAAAGGTCTGTATAGTCAAAGCTATGGTCCAGTCCAATGTCTGTATGGACATGAGAGGTGGACCATTAACGAAGGCTGAGTGCCGAAGAATTGATGCTTTTGAATTGTGGTGCTGGAGAAGACTCTCGAGAGTCCTTGGACTGGACCAAGGACTGGTTTGCAAGGAGATCAAACCAGTCAATCCTAAAGGAAATCAGCCCTGAATATTCATTGGAAGGACTGATGCTGAGGTTGAAGCTCCAATACTTTGGCCATCTGATGCGACGAGCCAACTCATTGGAAAAGACCCTGATGCTGGGAAAGATTGAGGGAAGGAGGAGAAGGGGGCGACAGAGGATGAGATGGCTGCATGGCATCACTGATTCAATGGACATGAGTCTGAGCAAACTCTGAGAGATTCTGAAGGACAAGGAAGCCTGGCATGCTGTAGTCAATGGGGTCGCAAAGAGTTGGATATGACTTAGCGACTGAACAACATCAACAAAGTCTCTACACTGGTTAAAACAAATTTACTGAACTAATTATATATGAATTCAAAATAGTTATTCAAGTTTTTAAGGATCTACATACCTTTGTCTAAATATACCTTCCAATCTAGATTTCCCCTACATCCATTCACAGACTATACTAAGCAGCTAAAACAAACTATCCACTATTGTGTATAAACGTCTCACATTTTCTCTACTGTTTCCTCTATGGATATGTCCAAATTGCACTACTTACACATGTCCAAATCTCACTACTCCTAAACTACTCAATTTAAATGTTAACCCCATTTTCAAGAAACCATCCCTGACTGAACTGCTTCCCTCAGTGCACCTCCCTCTTCTAAATGTGCACAGTCTCTAATAATTATCCCTTTCTACCTTGCATCACAGTCCTCCCACACTGCGAGGCAGTGTGCCAAACGCCACGATCCGTATCATGCAGCTCTGCACAAAAATATCTAATGTAAACATCTATCGATTGAGTGAGCAGGACAAAGTGAAAAGACCTTTATTTGCTGCATAACTCAGGGAACTCAAAGCAGGCCTCTGTATCAGCCACGAAGGGTGGGCTGGAGAGGGGGGCAGAAGTGAGGTTTAAGAGGGAGGGGACATATGTATACCGATGGCTGACGCGTGCTGCTGCTTGGCAGAGACCAACACAATTCTGTAAAGCAATTATCCTTCAATTAAAAAAATAAATTTAAAATTAAAAAGAAAAAGACCTTTATATGTCAGTGTCAGATAACGTTTTAGTAAGTTAACCCTAGCCAGCCCACCTCTTATTGTGGAATCATGGCTAAATAACTTTTTTTTTTAATAAACAAGTTTATTTGTAAATTTAGTCAACATACATAATTGACCTAAAAACTTCAATAGAAGGATAAATTTTAAAACCACTTGGAAAGCCGTCTCTATGAAGTGATTTTCCCAGAACCGATGCCACATGAACACCATTTTAACTGGCAGAGGTTCCATAAGCTGAAGCTGTGTCCCTCCCCCACAGCAAGTTTACCCTAACAATTATAATACAAACCCCACAAGGAAAAAAAGTTCGGTATTGTTTCCTCTTGGTAGAGAAAAGTTCAACCTAGTTATGAGACCAATCACAACACAAAGAAAAGCTGCACTAACTACTGTATTAGTAACAGACGATGCTGGTGTGAATAACTTGTATTATAGTCTAGAGCCCTTATAAATAAATCCCCCTCCCCGTTAGTGTTTGCATTATCAGCTAGAGGGTTAGTTTAACATGTGGTAGAAGGAGGACTTATGCAAGGTATAACGCGCCAAGCATTTTACTACGTAAACAAGTGCAGTCTACTCAGGAGAAAACCAATCGAACTCTAAATTACACACACCTTAAAGACAACACTCCCCACCACATGTCAATGTAAAACATTTAATTTAAAAATGTTGACACTACAATATATAAAATAGCTATTATAAATGCACATAGTGTATTCTATAGCTGCCAGGTTTACTTTTTTTTTAAGGAAACTGTAAGTTACACTGTGGTTAAGACTTGTATCTTCACCCTTGAAAAAGCCCACATTCTATCACAGTGATGTATGGTCAGACTTAACAGCCCCAATTGTTAAACACTTGGATCAAGTCATAACCAGTTTTATTGCAAAAGGACCCTGTACACATTTATCAATTCTAGTACCTTAATAGCTACCCAACAAGTCATTAACATACAGAAACATGCATCATGAGAAGCAAGAAATATCACCCATCCCTTCTGCATATTAGCAACTTGTCACTCCTGAGCAACAGTGCTCACATCACTGAGGTCTGTGAACAGTCACTTTTCGCATTCATCCTGAGTGAAAGATGGAATGACTTAAGTACAAATGCAACATATTATAAACAATTTCTTACAAAAAAAGTCACAAATTAAACCGAAGTATTTTACAGAATTTACTACAAAACACCATAAAAACTGCCTTCACTTAAGCTCTCTCTCCCCGTATCCGGCGAGCCAATTGGATGTCTTTGGGCATGATGGTGACTCTTAGCGTGGATGGCACACAGATTAGTATCTTCAAACAAACCCATCA